TTATGTTGTGGCAGATATTTAAGTAAGCTTTCTTAACGCTAATATTATAATAGTCAGATTGCTCTGAAGATGGGAGGTGATATTCTATTCATTTTCACGTTCACACAGTCAGTGATTTTGGCCGGCCGTCTTTCCTGCAACGGCGGTTTAAACTGTATTTCCTTTCTCCTGTCATATGAATTGATCGCTTTAAACTCTGCACACTGAGCTCTGATTGGTCAGCAGGCAGTGCTTTTATCCTGGAACCTATCCTGCTCCGGAGGCTAGCCGTTCAAAATAAGTTATCTAGCCCGCTAAAAAGTGAACCAGCTTCGTAGGACCGGAAACCCCTGAAGTTAGCTTGCTAAACGAAAATCCTGCTTCGTAGTATAGGCCCCAGGCCTCAGGAAACCTTTGGTACACCATGGAGCTGTTTCTCCCGCCTGTAGCCGGACATCCATTCCCCCCAATCATGGATGTATAATAAGATTAGCTAAACAATAAGAGTTTTACACTAAAAAATATTAGCTCACGGGTAAGAAAGAAGTCGGGTATGGTTTAACATGTTGTGTATCCCTAAATAGAGTGGCACAGGAAAGCAGTTTACCAATGCCGTTTTCATCATGAAGAGTAAACTACTATAAACGTTTTTTAATTTAACGTGTTTATAGTTGGCAGAATATAGTTAGAATAAGTTATGTGGTTAACACAAGATTATTAGGTTTTTAAGTTTTGTTTGCGGCATTAAACACGTCAGTAAATACCTCACTGGTGCAGGTCTGATGCTTATTTGTGTCTTAAAGACGGTGGTTATTGGCAAGTTACTAAATGACACGACACGAATTCGCTGTTAGCTAAGCAGCCATGCTACCGCGATGTAGTTCATTTATAGCCTAAAGATATCTGTTAAATTCGGGCAATCATAACATACCAAAATCCAATGGGGCAGTCCTATAGCTTTTTTCCCCCTGCGATGCAGCTTCCGGCTAAGCCCCGCCCCTTTACCTGTCTTTGTTATTGGGGTTGGCTGATTGAAATATTTTCAATTAAAGTGCACCTATCATGCTATTTTTAGGCAATAGCATAGGTCTCAGATATATACAAATATATAAAAAACATGTCTATGAAGTGTTTTGCTCAAAATACCAAACAGATCACCCATTCTAGCCATGCCTCATATCCCTCCATTTCACTTCCTGTTTCAAAAGTGCTGATTTGGGGTATAAAGCTTTAAGAAAAAAATAATTGATAAAAAAAAAGGAGGGGGCTGAGCTCATGCGGGAGATTCTACCGGCAGATACTGCAGTGATGAAATGCCATATCATGGATTATCAAGGATTATTTCTGAAACAGTATGGAGCTCAAAGGCTTTCTCTCTTGCCGGTTATACCACAAGGTGAGTTCCTTTTTATTTCCTGCTTCTTCACACACATGCTCTGTGCAGTACAGGTTAGCTCTGAGTGTTAGCGATGCTAATGTAAACATGCACCGACCATATTACGTCCAAAACAGTCGGGCATTGTTTCTGATAGCAACGTTTCTGATGGGGTTTTATTTTCTGACACTGCGTGAGTTCCCTGACACACCGGGGACACATGTATGTATAAGAGACATCAAAAAGTGCATTTTGTATGATAGATCTCCTTTTAAAGTTCAGGAAAACAAAGATTAAAATATCATGCTGCAAAGCGTGGCTCGTGTACTTCTAAAATAAACGTTAGTCTTTTAAATGAACTCTAATGAATTTTGAACCGTAAATCTTAACTCTAACATTTCTAATACTTAACCTTTTCTACCGTTTTAACATTTCATACATTTGAAGGTTGACAACTGTTTGTTTTGGTTGTTGATCCATATTTATAAATGTTTTAACTTTTAACATGTTGCATTTCTAAATTGATCATGTTTGTCTACAAATCAACTTGCCAGCTAATTCTTTACAAAACAAATGAATGAATTTAATTTTATGAAGTGCTGAAGCACCCCCCTGGATAGCCATAGCACCCCCTAAGCACCCCCAATAAATGTATGTGTCTTCTTCTTTTTTTATGTGTGAAATTCATAATTTGAAAAATGATTGATTCAAAAATAATACTCTACAGTACAGTACAAGTAGCCTACTTCTGGGTCTCTGTGTTTCATTCAAGCTCTGCTCTGTGTGTGTGTGGCACGAGCCATTTTGTGTGCGTGCGCGAGCGAGCGAGAGAGAGCGTGCACCGGTACCGGAGATCGTTGTGGTTAGCATCTGGTGCTAGCTAGCTACGCTAACGGATATAAGGAGCTTTTTCAACAACAAGGTGGAGGGAGAACTCTCTCCTGTCAGACTGAGAGTCTCAGATAACCTCAGCTCAGGTGAAGTAAAGGACTCTCTCAGTGTTTAGATAGTTAACTTTAGTCCAAGTTATCTCTGTGGGTCTCAAACGGTTTGGTCACGATTAATGTAAATAGGTATTTCCGAGGCACACGTTTATATGATCATTATAGGTATAAAAAAATAAGAGCATAAATGAAAAACAGGTATGAAATACTATATGACAGTAAAACAAGAATACAGTTTAAAAGGGGAGTGATTTGTAAAATATCCATAAAGAAATAGAAAATCGGTTTACAGTTCTGTTTCATATGGGTGTTGAGAGGTATCCATAGATCTCTTAATTTTGCTCTCAAAGTGCACCCGATTGATGCATTTAATTTCAATATTTAAAAAAAAAACTTCCCGGGGGAGCATTCCCCCGGATCCCCCTAGGATGTTAGGTCCATTCCCCACTTGTAAAAATAGTACTTTACCCCTTCATTGTAACAGTCGCGGGTACACTGTGTGTGTATGTGCGTGTGGGGAGTGTTGCAGTAGAAAGTTCCACTGTCGCGACCGGTACATTAATGGGAAACCCTAAATGTTTGAGCACCCTCTATGAAACGTCAAGCTACCCTACAGCACCCCCAAAAGAAAATATCTGGCTATCCGCCACTGGTTCCAGGTATGTATTCGAAGAGTTTCATGTGAAAAGAACATAGTGTCCTCAGTGAGTGTAATACAACTCAGTACCGTGACAGAAGTGAAGTGAAGAGGAGATCAAACTGAGGAGAGAAATGGTGCTCTTTCCTTTGTTCTCTCTAACTTCTTTTGTCTCCTTCTTTGTCTCAGAAAACAGAGAGACAAAAACATGTGTTGGCCACAATGCCTATTTTCTACAACATACCGAAATTCAATGGAGAAATCCTGCTTCTTTTTGTCAATGAAACCTTGCAATGCTACTTCCGGTTAAGTTATGCTCCATTTCTCAAATAAGAAATTGCTCTAATGGCATGACAATAATTAAGTACATTATTGCCAAAGCAACTTGCATAAGGTTAACAATAAATCTGATTGCTTGCACATTACTACACAATGTTAGAAACTATATACTGTTCTATACAACTACAACAGAAAAGCCACTATAGTGTACCATGATGCCATAAAAACAAACCATAAACAAAAGTAAAGAATAATAGAAAATAAATATAAACAATGTCATTCTCTATTATTACAATTATTGTATTGTAATGCTTGAACAAGTATAATCAGCATGGTGATTAGATTTAAATTATTACAGTATGATAAAGGATGTGGAGTCTGGCTATTGATTACTGCACATTTTGAATTTGTGTTTTATTTGTGGATTTGTCATAACTTAAAGGGGACCTATCATGCAAAATGCACTTTTGTACGTCTTTTATACATGAATATGTGTCCCCGGTGTTCCAGGGAACTCACCAAGTGTCAGAAAACACAACCCTCTCTATTTTCCTCCATACCCAAATCTCTAAAAAAAGGGGCTGCAACGGATCTGATAAAAACTGATCCAGATTTGAACACTGTCCTGACGTCAGGACGGTGGCGCTACGGCTATTGGGCCAACTCCACCAATCAGGAGGAGACCGCCACGGCCATTGCCGTTCGAAAGCGCTGGAGATGCTGTAGTACATATGCCAGGCCAGTAGATGGTGCTGTTCTCACTGAATCTGCCCCTGCACAAACAGAGCTATAAATTGTCAAATTGAGCAAAATGAGGCATGGCTAAAATGCATGATCTGTTTGGTATTTTGAAAAAAAAAAAGTATAAATATGCCTTATATAGGTATGGTCCTACACTATATTATTCAAATATAGCATGATAGGTCCACTTTAATATATAGCTTGAAAATGCCCAAATATTATGCTCTCTATCTCTCCCACATTATCTCTTTTGTTCTGTCTGTCCCTACTTTTCAGTTTCTTGTTTATTCTTCATTCCTCACCTGCATCCATCATCTTTATTTTGTGTTATATTTAGAAGAAAAGCCCGCTTAGGCGTCACCAAACATGGGCTTTAGCAGTAAGAATGTGCTGTTTGGAGTGAGTAAATAACAAAGAACCATCAACACTACAATCATTAGCTTAACCCCCTTATACCCTCAGGGCTGGAACCAATGCCAGCTAACCTTGGGCGAGAGGCGGGGCACACCCTGGATCAGTCGCCAGCCAATCTCAGGGCTGACACACACAGACAGACAACCATTCACGCTCACATTCACACCTACCATCGAGAACTGAATTATTAGTTTAGACAGTAAAGCCAAAGGGAATCAGGGTGAGATGCTTCAAATGCCTGACCCCCCTCCTTTTCCAAATTATTCAGCCCCTCCTTAGACACGCACACACTAATGCACATCTAGCTGTGACACACCTCCAGCATCCCAGTCTCACAGTAGCCAATGAAATGACCCGCTCGATTTTAGCAGAAACACCCAGCCCACGTCACTGGATTCCCCCTTCTCTCCTCCTCTCTCCTTCTGGCTGTGTGTGCGTGTGTGCGTGTGTGCGTGTGTGCGTGTGTGTGTGTGTGTGTGTGTGTGTGTGTGTGTGTGTGTGTGTGTGTGTGTGTGTGTGTGTGTGTGTGTGTGTGTGTGTGTGTCTATCCTTGTGCATCTAATGTAATCCTATGTGTCTGCACGCCTGACAGGATATATCAAGCCTCTCCTCCATTCTATCTCTCTTTCTCTCCAGCTCCCGCTTTATCACACACATACACAGGTGCTGCTCTTTGCCAACTCTTACTCGCACACACACACATTTACAACTCACAAACTTAAAATAGGATCATAGCTGGTCCACTTTTCTGGTGCTGAGGAACTTGACATTTTGCCTTCATGGAGGATTACCACAAACCAGACCAGCAGACGGTGCAGGCGCTGAGGAACATCGCCAACCGCCTCCGGATCAACTCCATCAAGGCAACGACTGCAGCAGGCAGCGGGTGAGTCGCCTGCACTGGCTCTCAGACATCAGCTTAAACACTGTGAATGCAACGCAGACATGCACAATGAATGAAACACATAATGCAAACTTAATATTTCTTTGCAGTATGGATTCTAGACTATATCTACTGACCTACTCACATGTCTGTGCAGATGCACACATAGAGAAGTGCTGAAAGAACAGCATGTACTGCCTTTGTTCTCCTCCTGTGATATACTGGTCGTATCATTTGAACATCCATAAATGATATAATTAGTTTTGCTCTCAAAATGGAAATACCAATTTCTATATTATTCTGCTTTATAGAACATTTATGGACCATTTTAAGAAATGAAAGGACTCAAAATGCATGTGGTTTTCAGTCAAAATATTTGCGAACAGATCAATATTATATTTTTCTAGCTTTGGAAAGCTAATATGCAATACAGCACTATAGACTACCATGTGAAAAGCTAAGTAAATTGTATGTTGCAGATAGAGATACATATTGCGTTGTTGCTGCAAGAACATTTTTATTTTGTGATAATAAAAATGTCAAAATACATGTTTTTTATGTATCACTATAAATCAGTGTTATGACTGTTCAAACAATTATGTGAAGCCAGAAATATTCTCTATATTTAAAGAATCAAGAGGGTTATCATAATGGAGAATTCCTCCCCACGCCACAGTGCATGCAGTGTAACCGACACTCATAGAACAAAGGGAAGCACTGAATTATATTTTACAAAATGTTGCTTAAAGTAACATATCTAAGTCTTATTAGTAATAATGACTAATGGCTGTGTTAGAATGTTGCATTTGCCATATTCATGCAGTTTTAATTGAAATACTTTTATTGATTTATACCTTTCGTTGTGGAAAAGACCAAAAGCAAGCCTAGGGCCTTTGAATGAAGTATACAGCATGTTGTCCATAGGGCTCAGCTCTAAAACCACCACTTTATGACTTTATTAAGAGTATTCCAATTAATTAAAAAAAAGTTCCTGCACTAAAATTGAGCTATTTGGGATTTTACAAGACTCTGTGACATTTAACAAAAAATCTCCAATCATTATTTGTCTATTTTAAACTTAGCTTTTTCTTAGGAAATGCATAGTAGTCATTTTAACATCCCATATAACTGCATACTCTTAATAATAACTGTATTCAACTAGTGTGTGTATGTCTTTGTGGTTACGGTACATTCATGTGTGTGTTACTTTGTACTCATGCCTGCCATATGTGTAACAGCACGCACGGTCTTCTCTGTTTCACAGACACCCCACATCATGCTGCAGCGTGGCAGAGATCATGTCTGTGCTTTACTTCCACACCATGAAGTACCGCCCTGAAGACCCGAGGAACTATAACAGTGACCGCTTCATCATGTCCAAGGTGAGAGTCAGGTTTTTAATGTCGTACAGAATTTGACCTTTTTCTTTAAATCACTTCAGTGTAGAATGCTAAGAAAATGTTGATTTATACATTTCTTTTCCCTCAGGGTCACGCTGCTCCGGCCCTGTACTCCATGTGGGTTGAAACAGGTTTCCTCAAGGAGAGCGAACTGCTCAGTTTGTGCCAGGTTGACTCTTCCCTGGAGGGCCACCCAAACCCTGTAAGCTGTCAAATAAGGAGTCATCCTATAGAGCAAAAACAGTCTAGCAAATGTTTTAAATAACACTGTGTATGTTTTTGTGCATTTCAGAAGCAGCAAATTGTGGATGTAGCCACTGGCTCTCTGGGACAGGGTCTTGGTGTGGCTTGTGGAATGGCTTACACTGGGAAATACTTTGACAAATCTAGGTAATTCTTCATACATGTGGATACATGACTGAAAAAAATCACATTAGTTTTGCAATTTTAGTTTCCTTAAATGCATTTTGTTTTTCTTTTGCAATCTAGATTTCTTGCATGTGTTTAAAAACCCATGCCTTGTTTAAATCCACAAATTAAAATGTGTAGGCCTGCAGAATGCATTCAAGTGTTCAGTGATTGGGATTTTCCAGATTCTGTGGGTGTGTGCTCCGGCTACATGCTCTGCTCTCACAATTATTCTGCTCTAATAATCACAGGCCCAGCAGTTAAATCGCACTTATGTATACTATGTACCATCAAAGCTGATTTAATATCTGATTCAAATTCAGGCATTGTGGATTTTCCCATTAATGTTTTTTAGGTATGTCAAAACTGATTCAATGTTCTTTTTGCCTTTTAAAAAAAAGATATTTGACCCATATGGCGCTGTGGGTTCTTAAGGGAGACATGTTTTAGAGGCAGGTGTGAAACTCAGCAGCCACACCTTAAGGGGCCTGAAGCTGCTACCGTGTCACAGCTGGTTATCAACCCCACTGTCAGCTTAAGGAAAGAGAATCAATCAGACTGGAAAAGTGTCAGAGAACATTTTCCATTTTTGTAAGATTTGCACCCCACCCACACACACACACACTAATTGTATTATCTCAACCTGTTCCCAGCTATCGTGTGTTCTGCCTGCTGGGGGATGGCGAGATGTCGGAGGGTGCTGTGTGGGAGGCCATGTCATTCGCCTCCTACTACCAGCTTGACAACCTGGTGGCTATCATGGACATCAACCGTCTGGGCCAATGTGACGCTGCACCCCTGCAGCACCACGTAGAGAAATACCAGAAGCGCTGTGAAGCTTTCGGGTATGTAGAAGCTGGTGGTAATAAAAGGAGCATTATCATATGTCTATTCATAGCTATTACATGTATTACACTGCCATGGTATGCATTTTGCTTTCCACCAATATCAAGCATACTGTACCAAGCATACCAGATGTAAGGCTCTGTGTGTGTGTGTGTGTGTGTGTGTGTGTGTGTGTGTGTGTGTGTGTGTGTGTGTGTGTGTGTGTGTGTGTGTGTGTGTGTGTGTGTGTGTGTGTGTGTGTGTGTGTGTGTGTGTGTGTGTGTGTGTGTGTGTGTGTGTATATATAGCTGGAATGCCATTGTTGTGGATGGACACAGTGTGGAGGAGCTTTGCAAGGCTCTTAGCCAACCACGTCATCAGCCAACTGCCATCATTGCTAAAACCATCAAGGGCAAAGGCATTCCAGGTAACTATCTGTCACTCTCTGCTCCCCATCTGCAAATGCATTGCTCTCACCCTAGTGCATATTACATAAAGGTCTTAGTGTGTGACTCATTAATCAAACACTGTTTAAATATAGCAATGTGATGGTCTGTTCATGCTGTTACAGCTGCGGAGGATAAGCTGGGATGGCATGCAAAAACTCTGCCCAAAGACATGGCCGAGATGGTTACGAAGGATCTGCAGAGTCGCATCATGAACAGCAGCAAGCACCTGTACCCTCCTTCCCCCGTAGAGGACTCCCCCCCCCGTCAGCCTGAGGAACATCAGGATGCCGAGCGCACCCAGCTACAAGACTGGCGAAAAGGTTTTCCACCCGCACACTAAAAAGTGTACAGAAACCACAGTGGTGCATTATTGAATAATTTATAAAGATTAAGCTTTGTTAATGATTATTTTATATTTTTACAGATAGCCACACGCAAGGCATATGGGATGGCTTTGGCAAAGATAGGCCGCTACAATGAACGTGTTGTGGTCCTTGATGGAGACACCAACAACCTCACCTGCTCAGACATCTTTAAGAATGAGCACCCTAACCGCTTTGTGGAGTGCTACATTGCTCAGCAGAACATGGTACGTTCCCCCGTCAACCAACATATTATTTCTTTAGATATATATTTATGGAAAAAATCATAGTTCTTTGTATGGTATTTTTTGTCTAATTCCCTCTCTTATTTGGAAAGCATAAAACCTCTCTTTAATATTGTAATTTTGCTGATGAAATGCTCTTTCTCAGTTCTGATTGGATAGGAAACAACCTTACATCTCACAGCTGTGAGTCGGAGCTTGTGGTATTTAATTAAACATGACTTGTCTATTCATAATCAATAATGAACAAAGCAACCCACTTGCCTTCTTATGGCCAATGTGGCTGCTGCTGACAGCCTCCCCACACGGACCTTTGTCATTGTCTATCTGAGCTTGGATTAATAATTTGGAGAGAGGCGTTCAGTCATAAATTCCTTGTGCTCTTATTGCTGGCTCAAGCAGCAGCAAACTCGAATGTAGGTCATGTGAATGACGATAAGCAGTCATGACAAGTGTAGTCAGAAGTAAAATATTAATCAGCGCAGCGCCGGGCACCATCTGGCTGAATGTAAGAGAAAGTCAAACGCGGAATGGCAAAATGTCTGTGTATTTAAAACCTATCGATTTAAATTAAGCAGAATCAAAGAAAATAATCAAAAGCTTTAAATGTTGTAAATAGAGAAGAATGTACTTTTATGGTAAACGTTTTATTATTAAATACATTCTATATTAGTCCAGTTTAAATGTATCCTTTATGGTAGTTTTCTTTGGTTGTCTCTAGAGAGTTCTATCTAACATTACATTTACGTTTTCATGGTTGGTTTTGTTGTGCTTTTGAAAAAGCAAGGAAATAACCTGTGGTATTTGGGAACGTTTTGAAGTCAGGATAAAAGATATTATTTGTAAGAGGAGGCATGCCACTGAATCCACGCATATGGGAAAATAAGCTCCGGAGCTTTGGAAAAAACTTGTCTCATCCCTCTGGATTTAACATGGTCTGTGGTTCAAAGGCGCTTGAAAATATGGTGTTTGATGCAGATAGTTCTCCCTCTGGGTGATCTCTAGAAGCACAAGTGACCTGTGGAAGGTTATGTCTCTTTGCTTTAGTATCAGTGCTAATCAAAACTTGAAATTCCTTTTCCCAGGTGAGTGTTGCCATGGGATGTGCTGCCCGTGAGAGGAACGTGGTGTTTGCCAGCACTCTTGCTGCCTTTTTCACCCGGGCCTATGACCAGCTCCGGATGGCAGCCATCTCTGAATGCGACATCAACCTGTGTGGCTCCCACTGCGGCCTGTCCACTGGTGAGCCAGGACAATCCCTCTCACACACCTTACCCTACCAAACCTTCACAAAAATGCACCTTTTATTCCCCTCCCACTGAAGCCAGACATTTTCACAGACCATTTCATAGTCACTAATGATTACAATGTTTTAAAGAAGGATCTTTGTGTGTTTGTGAGTGTGCCTTTGTATCAATCCTCACTTTCCCTCTAACTCTGTGTTTTCCTTGCTGTATTTCCCCCCTTTGACCTCACAGCTAATACTCAATCCTCCCATTTTCTCCCTTCCTCACTGCCCTGGAAGCTGTCAACAGGGAACCAGGTGTCCCTCTGTTAGTGCAGGTATACTGCATGCACAGTCTGGCTTTATGTCTGTGTATCTGCATGCATCCAATAACCTGACCTGTCAAAAACCTTTGAGGACTTTCTGAATGTTGAGAGTATACAATCAAACACAAATGTACATATTACAGGAGAGGAAGGCCCCGCTCTGATGGCGCTTGAGGACGTGGCTATGTTCAGGGCTCTTCCCACAGCCACCGTATTCTATCCCTGTGACGGTGTGTCTACAGAGAAGGCTGTGGAACTGGCTGCAATGACTAAGGTACATAAAACCTAAAAGCAGTGTTCTTGCTTCCCTTCTGCCGTATCTGTAGAACATGTATTTATTGGCAAAAGCAAATTTTGCCTATTTTGTGTCAAGATGTTTCAGTGATCAAATGTCAATGTTTCTCTTCGTAAAGGGTGTTTGCTACATCCGAACCAGCCGCCAAGACAGCGCCATCATCTATAACAGCAATGAGGACTTCCATGTTGGAGAGGCTAAGGTGAGTGAGAGGATAATAAGAAAACAGAGAAACTTCAGTGCAAAATTAACATTCACTGTCAAAACTGTAACCTAAAAGATAATATAATACTTTTCTCTTTGTTTCCAGGTGGTGTACCAGGGCAAAGATGACCAGGTGACCGTGGTTGCAGCTGGAGTGACTTTGCATGAGGCCCTGGCTGCAGCTGAACACTTAAAGAAAGGTACAGTACATGCAATACTGCATCTGGTCATAAGAAGATAAGGAATATACCAAATCACGTCTGACACATCAATTCAATCTAAAATATGCTATGATAAAACCTATTGTAAATGCCAAATTATTTAATGTTATCTATAATTACTGTGCATAAAATAAACAACATCTAATCTTAGATTTAGTTTATGTTGTTGCTTAGAGGTTTGCTTTAGGTAGACAAATACCATGTCATATTTCATAAATGCATTATAGTGATCTTAATGACTAGCTTCTTATTAAAAGCAGGATTCTTGTTACAAGAACCACTTCATGAATTACATATCTTAGTCATTAACAGTATCACGTTACATGTTGTTTTCATTAACTGAATAAACTGAATTTCCAGAGAGGATCTCCGTCAGGGTCATTGACCCCTTCACAATCAAACCACTGGATGTCAAAACCATCATCGATAATACACGTGCCACCAGGGGACGAATCCTCACCGTGGAAGACCATTACTATGAAGGTAGGCTTGCATAAAAGTTGCTGATACTGTTCAGCTTCTGCATAATGCATGACCACCACCAACCTAACAGCAAAAAGCATCTCAGCGTAATGCAGCTTTGGCCCTGTCATTGGTCCGAACCCTTCGCTGTGTTGCGCTGGCATGTTTTTATTGGCTCAGAGACAGAGACGCAATATGGTGGCATTTGCTTATTGGCTCAGGAGAGACGGACTGTTGTGTGCCCTCATAGCAGGCAAGGTATTTTATGTTTTAAATGCGAGAGCAGAGAGGCAGAGTGCTGTCAGATCTCCTTAACTGAGCATGTGCCCATGGGGCTCTGTGTGACCTAGATAACACAGACAGCCATGCCCTGTGCCTGGTAAGGGGGAGGGGGAGGGCGATGGCATGGACTTGACTAGACAGAGCCTTTATGGCATCCGTGTGATGTTGGGTATCTTATTCGCTTTACATCTGGGCTAGAAAGTAGTATAACATGTTTGTATATATGTCCATTCAAATGATCAACGTTTTACCGTGATATCTTGTTTCAACAGTTACTATATCACTTTGTTTTTAATTTTAGTATTATTATTTAAATTTGTATTCTATTTTATCTTTAACCTTGTGTGAATCCTGTTTTTCACTCTGACCCTGTTGCTGCTATTAACGCCTGAATTTCCCCACGGGGATAGATAAAGTTCCATCTTAATCTTAATCTTAATCTTATCATGGTCAAGGGACCATGTTCAGATTAAATGTATTTGTAATGTTTTCGTGCCATCTCTTGTCAGTATTATTAAATAGCGTAATTTTGATTGTCAATTACATTTCAACGCAAGGATGTGGATTTGCCTTCTCTCTACACCCCTCTCATGTGATGACTTGTTGTTCCTCAGGTGGCCTCGGGGAGGCAGTGTCCTCAGCATTGGTCAATGAGCCTGGCCTTAATCAGATCCGCCTGGCAGTGTCCCATGTCCCCCGCAGTGGCAAACCACATGAGCTGCTCAAGATCTATGGCATCGACCGGGACTCCATCGCCCAGTCCATCCGCAAGATGCTCAGCAGCTCCACCAACGCCAAGTAAATGTCTCCCTGCCCCACCCACCTATCTGATCACACCCCTGCAGATGAAGATAAACAGTCAAATATGTTTTATTCACATGACACCCAGCTCTTCACTGTGAATCCCCCTAAGTAAGTAATGTGATTTTGTGCCGTACACTTTAGAGTTCCACTTTTGCCTTTCTCTCTTTCAAGCATCCATAAAATCACATACAAGAACAGAAATTCACAAATTCAAAAAGACACCATTGTCATGAATCCAGTTCATTTAGCAAAATGTGTCCATAACTGACTGTGATGCTCACCATACAAAACAATTAATTATTACATGTTAAATATGAAATGCTCCGATGTGTTTGTTTTTTTATTGCTCTTTGATCAACTTCAACTGGAAATGTTTTATATTGTTCTGATGTAGCTCTTGGGTGGGGCATTGTAGTTAATCCTGGCAGTAGTTTCAGAAAGAAGCCAACTGAGTTGTTGTTTGTAGAAAGTAGTCGGAAAATCAAACAAATGTAGGTAGGTCATAAAGAGCAGACAATCAAAACCACAAGTCATGTTCAGTTAATTTAAACTGTTTTGGTTTCTTAAGTTGTTCCATTTCTCTTTAGCACTGTATTTCTTAAAACCGATTTCAAAGTTACTATCAACATACACACCTCAGTGTTCATTTGTGTTAGCTGTACAACTGGACCATACCAGCAGTGTGACGATAATAACTATGTGCTCAGTGACATCGTCTTTTTTTTTACAAAAGGTACGTGCTGATGAAGAATGTGACTAGCTGCAACTATGAAATTAGAGTTACATATGTCTTGTTAACCCAAGAAAAAACACTTTCTTTGTAACTTGACATTTTGTATGTACCTTACTTTCATGTAATAAAACCCTCTGCATTTGAATTTGAATTTTTACTCAGTGTTTTTATTTGTTTTGAGTTTTTTGTTAAAGTGCTGGTGCAAGCAGTATACATACACATCTGTATTTGTCTTTTACTTTAAACAGTGCACAAAATCATGAATACAATTTCATTCGTCACATGTACACAGCACTGTGAAATGTACTGCATTTATCCCATCCCAGGTTTAAGAGCAATTTTGAATAAAAATCTGATCATTACATTTTTTGACAGAGAATGATATGTGCCGGTTTCTGTCGATACATGCGTGACTTCCTAAAATTCTGCATCTGTGGCTCATGAGATAATTCCATCAAACACAACTCTGCGGTCTGTGGTTGCAAACGTCTTCTACCACCTCTGTCTCTTCCTCAGCTACCTGTCCAAAAAGATTTAAAAAATACCATCCCTTTAACTTTGAAAGACATTTACAATACAGTATTGAAGCTAAGATGAAGCTGCAAACAATCAACAGTGTAAAAATAAATAAAATCAGCATTTGCAAGCCCACTTACCTCAGAGAGCTGTATTTCCGTTTTGCTCCTCTAAGAGCAAACACAATGATTCCAAATCCATATGACAGTGTATAGACTGGAAAAAAAGCATTACATGTTAGCACAGTATTTTACCAAGGCGCCTACATTTATTACATGCTATAAAATCATGTGGTTTACCATGATAGGAGTTTAGGTTTAGGATGGCCACAAAAAGTGCAAAACAAAATCCCCAGTAAACATCTAAAGAGAAAGAAAGAGAGAGAGAATTAAAAGATAATGACAGATCTGGAAACCGATCTGAATGTAGACCTAATTCATAATTATATTTAAAGGTTCTTGTTTTATTATACAGTGTTTTGCAATGGCAATCAAAACCAGTCATCTTATTAATCACTCCAGTGCTGATAAAGATTATAATCAAATCATGACTGAAATCAGTGTGCGTACCTCTTCTGTCATATGGAAGCCCTTTACATCTCCTAGTATGGGGTGGAATATCTGACAGACAATATAACAAATAATTTACATTAGTATTAGCATTCTTGTCCGAAGAAAACCTAAAGGGAATTATGGGATTGTCTAAAATGACATGACAAATGAACATCTTCTGGTAAAAATATAACAGCAATTCAATTCAAGTTCAAATTACCTGACATTATGCCCACAATCTCGAACGCTATGGTGAAAAACACAGCAAGAACTGATGGAACAATGAGTGCTGAAACACAACACAAACATTATTAAACAGAGGACATTATATCAAGTTGTAAGTTAGTTGGTGATTACGTTGCATTTAAGAATCTAAAAAATGATGTCAACTTACAACAAAAAGGCCTATACAGTGCTGTTCCACATCCCAGACCAAAGCATATTGAATAAAAATGGTAATATTTATCTGAAAAGTTCAAAAGAATAGATTAAAATTTATAAATATTGTCAAAATAAATATAGATTACTTTTGTTTTCTTCCACCACATTAATGTACATACATTGTCCGTATAAGTCCCCTTCCATATTCCTGAGAAAGACACATTATCATGAACTTTTGGTAGAGACAGGACAACACAAATAGATTGATGGGTAAACACAGAGTAGGCTGTTGCTATAAAGACAGAAAGAGATGGGGGAGACTGAAAAAAAGGGAAAGAAAGCAGGAGAGAGAGAGATAGGGGAGACCAGCATTACATAATACAGAAAGATTATAGTGAGAGTATGAACTTACATTGCAACAGGTGAAAAAGCCTGAGAGCCAGAAAAAAACAGGTAACCTCACCATTTATATTCAGATGCAGGTCAATTCTCCAGGCAGGTGTTGCGACAACACCTATAAGACAAGTTTGTGAACCCTGTCAAACAACTCTGGTAAGTAATAAGCACAGACGGGAAGGAAAGTCCCAGATAGCAGGTTTTACTTTCACATTCTTTCATAGGCTATCTTTATATGTTTGATAAGTGTGAAGGCTAACTGGCAATGGTTTAATGCAGGGGTGTCAAACTCAAGGCCCGGGGGCCAAATCCGGCCGGCGACTTCATTTCATGTGGCCCGCAAGAGCTTGCAAAGAATATAATATGTTTATTATACGGTTACATGCCACTTTACAGAAGCAGGTTGCCCATACACTACATGTCCCACAATGCATCTCGTTTTGTGACATGCGCACTGAAGAGACTTGCAATTATTTGCCCTGGACTTCTGCTTTCAGACGTAGTTAATTACTAAGTTATTATCCTATCCGATAATAATCAAATTCAGAGGCAATAATGTAATATAATACATTATATATATTATATATGTATATTTATATAGTTACAACTCGCCCTTTGAGTGCAACCATACTGTTAATGTGGACCGCGATGAAATCGAGTTTGACACCCCTGGTTTAATGTATCGAGAGGAGAAATCTCAATTTTTAGCATTTGGCTTACATAAGTAATGTCTGGACAATGTTTGGAAACATTACTGATGTAAACAAACATTAGACAAACATACAAAGCTGTTATATATATTTCTATAATGTCAGTCCATGTAATAAAGCAAAATGTCAAATATTAGATATTTCCAGCCTGATTTTCTGCATTTTATATATGGCCTATTTTGAATGTAATAATTTTGGGTTCAGGTCTTTTGATCTCAGCTCTAGGAGATTCCAATGGGCAATTTCTTGACAATTGATAGTTTAAGCTATTCATCAGAACATATTTGAACGTTAATATATTAGGAAAATAACCTAATCAGATCATGAGAAACACATTTTCTTTCTTTTTTAATACTGTGAGCCATGTTCATGTTCATCTCTCGGAAAATATTTTTGCACATTTCTGCACAGCCCTCCACTTTAAAATATAATATACTGAAGTTAACACATATTGTCATATATTCATTGAACTACGTTTTTTTAGAATAGCTTTTTTGTATATTTATATTGGGTGTACATACTTCAATAAACAACTTATTTCCTAATTTGTTCTATGTTTGCACCAGACACCAAAGCAAATTCCTTGTATGTGTAAACGTACCTGGCAATACACTCGATTCTGATTCTTCTGAGGCTAATCTTACAGCCAAAGCAAAAAGTAAATATAATGCAGTGGGTCTATGACATATTAATATAGTCGTAGTTACATTATAAAGAATGTAGATGGCGGTGCTGTATCGAAATCGTCAGTAAGTTTCCAGAACCAGTCCAGGCCCGCACAATGCATGCTGGTACTTGCAGTCAACAGGACAGCTGCACAACGTAGATTTTGATATGTTGGAAAAACCTCAAAACTACATTTCCCTTCCCACTAATGGCGATTTGAATGTCTTGAAAGGGGAGCTTTTTTCCCCAATCGATGATCTCAACTGAAGTTTCCTCTGTCAGCTTCACGTAGAGGCTGAAGAAACTCCTCGAAAATGAAAAAAGTATCGTCGAGGTTGAGCTTCGTTGAAGTCCTCGGCGGGAAACATCAACTGGAACGTAATAACATTTAGGTCCCGACAATGCGGCTCAAACAAAGCAGGCAGTGATTTGTGGTCTCTGTGGTTTTCTGTGCTGCTCCTGCTCAGCCAGGGCTGGGTCCCGTTACACTGGGTGAGTCGGCGGCTCACCAATATGTCTATGGAGGAGCAGGAATATCCCGAAGCGGTACTGGTGACAGAGGCCGGGCCGCAGTGGCTTCAAGTGGAGGTCGAGCGTCTCAGCCGGGAGCTCCGTGAGACGACCCATGAGAAGATCCAGGCGGCCGAGTACGGGCTGGCGGTGCTGGAGGAGAAGCAGCACCTCAAACAGCGATTTGATGAGTTGGAGACAGAATACGAGACGGTCAAACATGAGCTGGATCAGCTGAAGGAGGTAAACCGGGGTCATAGCCACGCAGACACACTGACACTTTGAAGATTTACGGTAGATTTAACGTTAACCCATTAAATGTATCGGTATGTGAGCAAACGGCAAGCGAGCAAACGTCCTGTTGGCAGCAACCGGTACCAGTTAAGAGGTTGTAGCAGCAACACTCGTATTGGTAATCACAATCATCATATCATATAGGCCCTATTAGTTAATCATAGACTGGATGAAGTTCATATCAATCATGGCCTTAGTTCCTTTAAAGCTCAGCTATAACTTTAACTTGTGCCTCAAAAAACTACAAAGTGCCCCAAAGAGCATACTGACAGGCTGGAAAACTATATGAAGTCTGCCAGATTATCATATTGTAACCAATATTCGTATGGTTTAATGATTTCTTCACCTCTAAGGATAACATCACTACATTACTTTTTGGTCACTTGCCCGTACTTGCTCCTGGTATGCAGTAAGGTTGAGGCCTTCAGATCAGAGCCTGCAGCTGCAGCAGTATGTCAAATTTAGATGCCTATGTGGCCAACCTGCTGTGAGTTTATTGGGTTTAAAAGTAACAGGAAGGGTCCAGGCTGTAGTAGAAAGACACACTTTTCAGACCTGTTTTGCTGCTCAGTTTAAAGTGAAGCTTGAGAAAGATGATAGCCAACCCATGGTATTTTTGTAATGCGTATCCCAATGTCCTTTTCAATTATTTAGAATACTCTTTGGAGAGACATTTCTAACCCAAGACAACAACAGTGCTAGCATTGTTTTGTGTGGGGGATTTGTCAGTGTCTTTGGGTCGATAAGCAGTCATAAGAGACCTTGGTTCACATGGCAAGGAGGTTTTAATCTTCACCATAACTAAATTCAGCTGCCTGAGACTTTTAATAACCCAATTTAGCATTACAACGTTATGACTTCAAGCCATGCTGTTGTCAACAAAGCTATAAACGTCACCTCAGCCCTTGATCTTTGAAAGGAGATGTACACTTTTAGATAACCATTTTCTGCTGTATCTGACAGCTATCAGAGCCAACAATAGGAGAATGAGGAAGAGTCAAACCTAAGATGGGATGGTAAAAGCAGCATCCAACACAGCTGAATGTGAGCGAGACATTCGGACACCTGAAAGTCAACCAAATACGACACAAACATTCGTTATTATCTATCTAATAAACCATGCTTTTAAAAAATTAAATAACAACATAAGAATAAGTGACATTGGATACTGACATCAAGAACTGTGGGAAGTTTTGACCCTACATCAAAGGAGAAGTTGAGGTTTTCCTGTCTGCGTACTAACGTCAGTCTTGTATATTCTTGCGGGCAGTGTCACTGTATCCTAAAGCACTTCTGCATTTGCTTTGCGATTGAGCACTTGTGGTCACCACTTGTTATCGATTTGTCATTGGTGTTTTACTGGTAGCCAGAAAGCCACAAATGCATAATAATGTGATCAGGTAACGGCTGTGAACAGTAGTCTAATAGATGGGCTCAGATGGATGTCAGTCCATTACTTAGATATGAATAACTTAGCTGCATCAACAATTCGTTTTTACTATCAAATTATTTGCATTTGGTTTACTTGCCTTTATTTTGTATGTTTAACATTTGTCTGACATTTGTAAAAAGTGCTACAACATTCTAATTCTCACCGTCATGTATTAAGGTCGCTTGTTTTATTCAACTAATAATCAAAGCCTAACATATAATAATGTAACATGTGCCGTATTTGACAAGCATCAAATCATCTCATTGAAGAAACTGCAACCAGAGAACATTTGGCATTTCATTGACAGAATGTTTGACTAATTGTTACAACTCTATTTCTGAATAATAAGTGACACATCATCTAGTTAGGATGAGGAACATACTTGTGTCACTAGATAAATGTCGATGGATATGCTTAGTTGTTTGCTGATGGGGATTTCCTCTCATGGCAGATACTGCAGTCCAGTCACTCAGTGAGTCATAGATGTAGTCATTGTCTTGGTATCTCATGATGCTGACTGTTACTTCTCTTTTTAGTAGAGTATGGCACAAATATATGAGTCCATTAGCACCCACTGTGCTGGAGGCTGCAGATCGATTCACATTATGACTGACCACTGCCTGTCACATGTTTGTTGACTGAAAACTTCTGCTAAAGAAAATGTGGGGTTAGAGACTGGTGGTAGGGAGAGCTGCAGCTCGGTGGTGGGTTTCTGGACTTTCTTGGACAGTAGTTGTGATGTCACCAGTTTGGCTCAGTGTCATGGCTTGTCAGCTGCATGTCCACACGTCTTTATATCAGATAGCTGTGGGAATCGGACGTTAACCTATTCATCTTATTTCAAGTTTTGTTCTGACTGTCAGTACTGTTAGCTTAAGCCTATATGCTTTTTCTTGGTATCCTTCCATTTGTGCACTCACAGTGGTGACCTCCATTAGACCTTGATGCTATGGAAAGGCTTTTATGGGACCAGAGAGTGCCTCATCAGTTTCCCCAGCATCTTGTTGAGTTCTTTGTTGTTATTTTGGTCGGAAGTGACTGAGTATGCCACAAATGCAACAGCTTTTCAGTTCAATTGCCTGACAGTATATGACCAATTTCTGCTTTATTTTGCAATGTATATCAGTAATTTTTTAAAGAAGCTGTATTTCAGTCGGATAAAATGGCAATTGTTTAAATAACTCACTGATGGTCATGAAAGCTCATCACTCCCAGGCTGTATACCACTTGCTCCATCAGTCAAGTTGTAAAGGATAGGTATATATTAAGGAAGTTTGCAAAGATTGTAATTAGCAGATATAGTTGGAGATGATTCTAAGTGTTTTATTTGAGTGCTGTAGTCGTAGTAGTTTGATTTGACATGTGTTTGTAACAGTGACTGTAGTGATTACTGTAATTATTAGAAAATGCAGAGGCAAAACAGACATAAATGTCTGGGGCACAACTTTTTATCAAAATGAGATATACTCAATGTTTAACTGTAAATTCAAATTTGGTTGTCTCAACTCAGATTTCCATGACAGACCAAACTGAAAGAGATGATTTTGGATTGGACGACAGCGTCCTCCAGCTTGTCATGTGAGCATGAGGAATCTAAATGCATATAGTTCAAATGTATCAGTGTGTGCACTAATCTCTTTTCATGCTCTGCCACTGTGTAATATGAACATCGTGACATTAAACCAATTTGTAGCAGCAGGCTGACAGTAATAGTCAGTTAAGGCTTTCTGTAAAATAATACGCAAGTCACCGTATTAATGACTGGCATGGTATTTTGGAATAAACAATGTTTGGGTAAGATAACTTATCACCGCCAGAGGTTATTTTTTGTCCGTCTTAAAACAGGCCGGCTATTATATTTTATTATAATATTTTTCTGATGTTTATTCTTTCCCTGTGTCCCCAGGCTTTTGGACATGCTTACTCAGCCCACAGGAAGGTGGCAGCAGATGGGGAAAGCAGGGAAGAGTCTCTGATGCTGGAGTCAGCCAGTCAGGAGGCTCTCTACCAGGAGAAGGTCCTTGAGCTGCAGAATGACCTCCGGCAGGCCAAAGGTTCCCTCACCAGCGTACAAGCTGAAAATGATCGCCTGTCATCTGTTGCCCTGGAGATAAGAGAGGTGAGAGTGAGCTGTTTTAAGTATCAAAGTATTGAAATATGAGTAATAAGGAGCAGACTTCAAATTAGAGCCTAAAGAGTATAACTAACTCTCTACCCATGAATATGTGTGTTTATATGAAGTGAGCATGAATGTTTTTATTTGTAAGTATTTTAACAAACTTAATGTCTCTGTTAAGAATGAACTGTTTATGTACAGATTAAAACTGCATCTTACCAAGTCAATCTGAGTATTTCTAATATGTTAACTTGAAATTGCTCCCTAGACATTGTTGACATACAGATCTACCATTTACACGTGTGGTGTGATGTGAGCTCTTATACCACACTTTTGCGGTATGCTAACATCTAGTTTAGTTTTTCTCACAGATGTAAGAGTCAATAACTGAATCAAAGTACTAGTGTGTTTGAAATGGTACACATCTTCCCAATAATGTCACCAGTTAAAAGAGAAATATAAAGAGAGAGACGGTTAGTTTAAATGATTTAAGTTTAGATTGACGTTGAGGCCAGACAGCCACTAGTTGTCAGGGTGAGTTGTGAGAGAGTTGAAGCCGGTGCTGGTAGTGGGGGAGGGTCTGCCTAGGAGCAGCAGGAAAGATGATGTAATGGTCCACTGTGGGTGACACAAAGGATGTCCTCTGCCAGGGCTCTGTAGCATGGATTGGTAAGTGGACCATGTCCTCCTTCTGTCATTACAGACGCCTGCCAAAGTCTTGCCCTGTGCTATGTGAAACATGCTGACACGCTGATACTCATGTCACTTGACCAGCTAGGCAGTAGCAAGGATGTAGTGTGCACTTCATGGGTCATTTTCAATCAATAAAACGCATAGAGCATTTTTTTAAATTGTTTTATTTTGTGTTTATTGTCATGCATTCTCCCTGTGTGTAGGGTTCAGAGCTGGCGGAGCTGCAGCGGGGTCAGCTGCGTGATGACCTGAGAGAGTGTGAGGTACGGGAGGCTCGTCTGCTGCAGGACTACAGCGAGCTGGAGGACGAGAATATCACTCTTCAGAAACAAGTCTCTGTGCTGAGACAGAACCAGGTGAGCTAAAGAACATGGAACCTCACTTAGTTGCACAAATTGAAGTGGGTGAAAATGATGGGAAATAGTAACGTTTTTCCCGTATAAACTCCTTTTTATTAACAAATAGTAACTTTTTTCACGTATAAACTCCTTTTTATGAACCACACACGTACATTTTTTTCATGCACCGATAAAACAACATAGTCATTATGTCATGTAAGAAAGTGACAAGGCAAGACATGTCACCTGCTCCACCTACACTTTAGATTTTTGCTGTGATTTGAAAACGTAAAAAAAAGTGCTGTTCACCTTAGTAGTTGCAATTAAGATTTTATGACATATTTGTATGGTCATTTTTGCACTATGTTAGGCACCTTGGCATAAAAAAACCCACCAAAGAGGTAGGGCTGTACCCGAATATTCGGTCGTTGGCCCACTATTCGGTTTTCAATTTCGTTATTCGGATTATTTATTTTTTGGCAGCCGCGCTGCACTGCGGCTGCCAAATTGAATTGATTGAAATCTCCAATATCGACATAAGAGCTTGTGCCTCTTCGGGGGGTGCTAACACTTAACCATCAACTTTATCGTTTACTTTCTCCGTCTTTATATGTAGATATTACTTTTCTCCGTTAATCTCCGCTCCTTTTGTCCGTCATATTGTTTCCATAGCAACAACTTCCTGTCAACAGCGCTAACTCTCCTTCAAAATAAAAGCATGTCAATACAAAATAGGAAGCCAAGCCAAATTACACTTAAGACATATATACAACTGCAACAAAAGTAACAAACACAATATCCTTTTCAATTTCAAAGAACATAAATTGGGTTATTTACATTAACAAATAACTATAAAACAACAATACTGTAGAATAACAAAATGAATGCCTTGAATAAACCGAAATGCACGTGTTGAAGCGTGCACCGAATATCCGAATATTCGCTGCTGATTACTACCGAATATATTTGGGACAGCCCTACAAAGAGGCCACAAATCAAAAAAGTAAAATGTAGTTTCATTATTTTTTTTGACCGTCTGCTTAGGTGGAGTTTGAAGGTCTAAAGCATGAGATCCGGCGTCTGGAGGAGGACTCTCTGTGCCTTCACAGCCAGCTGGAGGAAGCCATGCGTCTGAGAGAAATCGCCGAACGACAGCTGACTGAGGCCTTAGAAACGATTAAAACCGAGCGTGAGCAGAAGGCCACTCTTCGAAAGGAGCTCTCCCACTATATGACCATCGGCGGCTCCTTGTACAGCAGCCCTTTCAACATCTCCATCGACAACCTAAAGCTGCACGATGATCACTCCATCTTCTATGAGCCAGACAACGACGATCTGATCAGAGGCTTTGAAAATGGCTTGGCCAAGATGGCAGAGTGTGAGGAAGACAACAGAGGGAACAAGAGAGAGGCTTTCAAGCCGGCTCCCGGCCTGGTGGACGACCTGCTGACCGAGCTCAACATCTCTGAGATCCAGAAACTCAAACAACAGCTTATGCAGGTATGAAGTCGGCCTCCATAACCACAATGTATGGCCTGATCAGATATTATCAACACATTCACTCAAAAATAAATGAATTACAAAGTATGTAATACACAGGAGTAGTTGATTGTCCTTACTAACTGCTCTTGGGTAACTCTTTGATCTCAGCTGATGTATCTGGCCTGTAGTTTACTCTTTGAAAGCCCATACAAGCAGTAAAGTGCCCAAACATTTATTTGTGTTAAAACTAAATGGGTCAGTTGAATAATATATCTGTAATAAAGCAATGTCTCCATTCATGACCTATATATTTTAAGAAATGTTTACGAAAGTTTGTAGATTAATATTCAATCCATTTGAACATTACACGAATAGACAAGCTAAGTAAATGCACAAAGCTCATCAGGGATTTAAGATTTTGAAGAAATGTTTTGTTGACGATGCCAAAACAGTAACAATAGTTAATACAAAATGTCAATGCGCAGGATTAATATATACATTTAACGTAGTCAGAACTGTAACTGTCCACATCAAGTGTTGCTTACATTGTAAATACATGATTGTTGATCATCTTTGGATTTATCAGTTGTACATGCAATTTTGAAAATGCCTTTCTTTTATATGTTTAGGTGGAGCGAGAGAAATCATCCCTGATCAACTCTCTCCAGGAGAACCAGAAGCACCTGGAGCAGGCCTATGGGACTGTGTCTGAGCAAAAGGAAACAGTCAACAAGCTGACTGAGAACCTCACTGCCATGAGGAAGCTACAGGCCAGTAAGGAGCGCCATTCTGCTCTGGACAGTGAAAAAGACCGGGACAGCCACGATGACGGAGACTACTACGAGCTGGACATCAACGGGCCGGAGATCCTGCAGTGTAAATACACAGTGGCTGTGTCTGAAGCTGGGGAGCTGAGGCAGGAACTGAAAACGCTGCGGTCCAAGTACGAGGAGTGTCGAACACAGTATGAGGAGGAGCGCTCGCGGTTGGATAGCGACGTCCATGACCTCAGGTCGAAGTTGGCGTCCCTGGAGAAGATCAGCCAGGCGGATCAAGCGGATGTGACTCGTCTGGAGAAGGAGCTGCGTCTGGTCAGCACGTCGGCAGGAGAATCACTCGGCAGCCTTAACGTGGCGCAGGATGAGCTCATAACGTTCAGTGAGGAGCTGGCCAATCTCTACAACCATGTGTGTATGTGCAACAACGAGACGCCCAACCGCGTCATGCTGGACTACTACAAGGAAGGCAAGGCCATAGTGAGAAGAGGTAAAGAAGGGAAGGAGCACCAGTCTTCCATACTTCTCACCAACGGGCTGATCACTGAGTCTGAATCTGAAAACTCCAGCAGCACCACAGTCACATCCGCCCCAGAGCACCGGCCAGAACCCATGAACGTGTATAACCTGGTGGCCATCATCAGGGACCAGATCCTCCACCTGCAGCAGGCGGTGGACCGCACCATGGAGCTGTCCCGTCAAAGAATTGCAAACCTGGAGCGGAGCACAGTGGCAGACAAGGACAAAGAGGCTTGCATTGGAGAGATCCTCAAACTGAAGTCCCTGCTGAGCACCAAAAGGGAACAGATTGCCACTCTCAGAGCTGTGCTGAAGGCCAACAAACAGGTCAGAGGACCCCAGTGTGTCTGTATGTGTGTGGCCCAGCTGTATGCATGCTGCTGCTGTGTATGCTTCCCAAAGGAAGGATGTTCATTGTTTCTCAGATAGACTTGGGCCTAAAATAACCGCAGTGCAATAAATGAATAATGAATGAATATTTATATAAGTTCTTATTCCCTTTTTTAGACGGCTGAGGGTGCGCTGGCCAACCTGAAGAGTAAGTATGAGAGCGAGAAGGGCATGGTGACGGAGACGATCATGAAGCTCCGCAATGAACTCAAGGCTCTGAAAGAAGATGCCGCCATGTTCTCATCTCTTCGAGCCATGTTCGCTACAAGGTATGATTACTGGTTTACTACCTAAATGTGAACAAGCACTTATTTACATTTGTATTCCTGACAAACATGAAATTAGCCAAGACATGGCCAAGTGTTCCAGCGCGCACAACATTATTCATGACAACTAATGTCCTGTATACTTCAAAGGAAATATGAGAAAATTACCAGATTAGAGAGGACATTTATTTAAATCATGTTAATTCTTCACTTATTTTAGCATATTTCTCCTAAAAATGAAAAAAGAAAATGTTAAATATTTCATGTTGGTGTGTATAAGACACAAGGCATTGTGGGAACAGTCTGATGTAATACCGTGTGAGTGAGCTAGCAGAAACCTCATGCTCCCATCTGGAAATTGCTGTCTCGGGAATGGAGAAAACATGTGACTGCAGCAGTGGATAAAAGGCAAGTTGCTCCACCTGCTGGATATAATGTTCCTCTCTGGTTTCTTCCTATTCCCCTCTCTCTCTCTCTTTTCTCTACATCTCCCTCTCCTCCCCTCAGGTGTGATGAGTATGTGATCCAGTTGGATGACATGCAGAGGCAGCTGATTGCTGCTGAGGATGAGAAGAAGACTCTGAACTCTTTGTTACGTATGGCGATCCAGCAGAAACTGGCCTTAACCCAGCGCCTGGAGGACTTGGAGTTTGACCATGAGCAAGCCCGCCGCAGCAGCGCCACAGCCGGAGGAGGCAAGGGCAAAGCAAAGGGAACCTCTGCCAGCAAACATGTAAGTCGTATGCTCTACTGCAGAACCAACTGTGAGCCACAAAGCACCTGCAGAGGCTCTGGGTTCTTCTGCAAGGCTTAAAGTGGCCCTTTAAACCTCTATATATTTGTTATTATTTTTGTATCTTTGTAGCTGTGCATTCACTAATATGTTCTCACTCTAAGCTCTCTGATTTGGAGCCATTATACCTCTAACACAATATATGGCATACTAGTATTATTTCTTCGTCCTGTGCAGTACATTTATTTATTTATTCATTCCACACATGGCAGTTATTTTAAAACAAAACATGTTCACTTTACGAAACATGTACACTCATACTGGGTTTTAAAAAAAGATGTATAGCGCATGGTGGAAAGGAGCAGGGAGAAGAACATCTTATTTGACCTGCCCCTTCTTACAAAAAAATAACAAATGAAATAACCATTAAAAAGTAAAATAAAAGCAATATTATTTCAGTCACAGTTGCTTACAAATACTGAAACATAAAACAAAATCAAAAGTCAACTTCATACTGTCTAAATATGCTTTCATGATTGTGCTCACAATGTTAGACTGGTTTAGCAGAACCATTCCTCTCTGTGCTACTATTCATGTCAAAATACTATACAGAATATATTCATTTGGGCTCAAGGAAGGCACACATCTCCTGAGCATGAAGTATAAGTGTTATTTTCCTTGTGATATTTATATATCGTTATTTGGCTTGCGATCCACATGAAACATGAAACTTGAATTCTAAATTGAATTCAACTGAATTAGCTTCCAGGCTACATCCAATTCCAAATGTATATGTGATAATTATAGGAATATATCATTAGTAAGTGTGCGGGTCATTTGTTTTGTGAGAGGATGATGCCACATGTAACCAACAAAAGAATTATGTGAAGAAGTGCTTAGATATTCTGGCCTGAAAACAAGTTGGATGAAGAGGTTTAATAACAATGTTTACAATGATGTTACATACATGTTATCTACCTCGATATTTGTCTTGAAGAATTCATTTATATTTAAGGTCAGTTCATATTACAACTCCTTTTTTCGCTCACTGAGCCGAAAAGGCTTGTGTTCTATAACTAGTGATATACTATTCTCTATTTTCTGTATCATATTCAGGAAGTGAAGAGTTTGATTTAATTATTTGAATGATAATGACATCGAGATCATGTAAAATGTCCCTGTATTATCAGTGACTCCTTACTGAATCCTGCATGCATTACACCCCTCATTCTTCTGCTTTCATCTAATGTTACCTTAATTATATAACTTGATCCAAGTGATTCAGTGGAAATACACATTTCAACAATCAACCAACAATCTAATTAATGTGATTTCTCTTCTGTTTCTGTTTTTCTATTTGCAGTAAATCAATCATGCCAAGTGTCCTTAAGGAGCTCCGTCAGGCTGTCTGTGACAGTCTCCAGTCACCTGGTTCCTTCACTCTCTAATCATGCTCCAAATCATGTTAATGTTAACACTAGAACATATACATCAGTCATTGCCAAGGGCCTTGTTTTAGAGTGCCAAAACCAGTGTGTTTAAATCAGTTGAACATTAAGAGAGAATGACTCGTCGCATCAGCGGTCCTCTGCAGTCTTCCAACAATATGCACCACTATTATTATTGAACCATAGAAAGCATCAGCGCAGGCCTTTGCTGATCTCTCATTGCCAATGTTACCATGACTGTGCACTTTTTCGCTTTGCCTACCCATAGCTGATTCCTCTATCTTTCTAAAAATCATACTAATTATTTGAAATATTATACATTCATTTTTTTACCAGATGTGCATGTTCATCTACCAGGTGATATTTTTAAGTGGTTCAACATATTTGTTATCCTTATTTATTTCATAGCAACACATTGAGAGATAATGTGGTAACTGCTTTTAAACCAGAATCTAACAAGAGGGACAAAAACACTTTTCTGCCTTAGTTGTTTTCCTTTTGGCCTTAAATGTATGGGTGCGTTTCTGACAACCCATATAAACACTTTCTAGGTATTCAAGATAATTGATAACCTTTGTTCCTGTTTATCTGATAAAAAGAAATATGAAATATATTATTTTCACTAAAGACGATCCTGCAAATATGGAACTTCAGTTTCAGGGTATTACTACATGTTGTGTGCTTGTCCTTTGTAGACATGGCAAAGCTGTTACAAATTCAGTATGCTTGTTACGACTAAGAAAGAGTATTAATGCAAAGCTTATTTAAAAATGTCTAAGTTAAGGTCAGATGTTGAAAGTATTCATTAACTTTATTCATGAAGGAGAGTTTTAATCTTATTGTTTTAATACACCTTTGTTTAAAACATCTAGGTCCTTATATCTGCAAACAAGCCTGCAATGCCATTTTGTGTCTGTTTCTATGAGTGCAATTTGCAAACATGGCAAGAAAAAAACAACTAAATGTTTGTGCTATGTAAACATTTTAAACACATTGTTGCTCACATACTTGGTCCTAATTGTTTTTTTTATATGATTTTACTATATCTGCAATTGTATTTATTTGACACTGTTCAGACAACAGGATGCCATTATCCTCTTTCTTTCATAAGGGAGTCAAGAGTAAAAGTGGCTGGTCAGAATATTGATCATTGAAGACTGAACGTGGGGTAAAACACTAGCAAAATGTTTGACTGTGGGTTACTGCTAACAGTTATGGATGGTGAAATAATAAATTTACTTTAAAAGTGTAATTTTGGTTCATTATCATGCAAGCATAATGTTACTCATCCAATTGTCATTTTTAATAAAGCTTAATTCTTTCACTGTTGAGACATGATCCTATATTGCTTGTTAAGAGTCAATTATGATGCCTCCAAGAGTTGAGAAAAAGCTTCACTATTACCATGTATATGCCTTTCTATGCCTATCTGATGCCTAAGAAATGAATTCATGTATACATGCACTTTCTAGTCTCATACGACACAAAGTTGGATCTAATTTGAACGTGACATTTACCATTTTAAATTCAGAAATGTACAAGGAAACAGTTTAATAATGTGTTTAGCCATAGTTTGGAGATCATTGGCTCGTTTTATTGTAAATACATCTCAGCATTTGTATAAAGTAATGCATTTATTTCGTTAATCTGGGATTTGCCATATCTATTTCCATTTCCGGTGAAAAGGAAAGGTTTTTTTTTCCTTTTTTGAAGACGTTTACGTAAGCCACTCCCTGCCTGCGCGGTGACGTCAGGGGGCGTTCCAAACAAAGGACAGAGGGGACTCCACAATGGGAGGTTTGTGTCTTTCCTTACGAGAAATTACCCTTATCTTAACAAAGGTTACTGTTTGCATTCTGTTTTGGTTTAATCTCTTCCCATTTGGTCCAAAACACGAACATTATAACAGCGCTAACGACCTCAAAGGTTGCCTGTCTTCGCCAATGACAATGTAGCGTTTCAGTCAAGTCCTGTTTCTAAAAAGTTTTTTTTGCACTTAGTAACACGCTTAAATGTTCGATTTGCAAATGTTTAGATAGATTACCAACCATATATGTCTTCTCACACTCTGTCACATTTACGATTAGAGACTTGAGATCATGTCAAACTTATTTTCTGTATTCAGACCTATGCTACCGCAAACGTACTTCTCTTTCCAATGAACCAGCTATCCTGTTGTCAGACAGTGTTTTGAATGTATCGCTGATGTGCTGAGTTATTGTTTTAAACGTCTCTCTTTTAACGCGGACAGACAGTTTCCATGAACAGCTGTTGGAGGACAGCGCCTTCCTCAGAGCTGACCGCAGACTGGACATAGAGCTGGTGGACAAAATCATCCTGCAGCTCAACAGGATCTACCCGCAGATCCTGTCAGACAAGGAGGCCACCAAAGTAAGTTCTCATCACAAAGTTCCTCACTGTCTGGGTCACAAGCAGGCAGAGGTGGAAGAGATGAAGTCAAAGATGTAGCACAGTGTATAGTTCGTTTTAAGATGTAGGCTACTGCAAAGGGAAGCATCCCTGTCAATGTTATACTTTATTTGACTATTATTACTGCTGGTATTTACTGTGCTGGAATCTAGTCAACATTTTCTGTGACTATTTCACGAGATGTCAATTGTCTACTGTGAAGCACATTGGACTGCAATTATTGTATGGAAGGTGCTAAACAAATAAAGACTATTATAATGCTTTATATTCTATAAACTTGTAGTAGGTTCTTATGCAGAATGATATACTGATATGATTGGTAACTATGGTTGTGGGATAAATCTCAATGAGTTAGAAATTCATTATTTCTCTTTGACATTGAGTAAAACGATCATGTAAAATAATCAATAATATACTGCAGGAAGGTGCAAATGGCTTAAAAGTATATATTTAAACAAGTATATTAATTGTACTCGCTTATATATTTAAGTTAATGTACTTTATTATGTGACATTACATACAACAACAAACACTGTATTTAGAATATGTTTTTGTCAAGCACCTGATAGTCTTGGTACATATAGGTACATGAGTATTCTTCCTTTGAACAGACGCTCCTGATTATGTCTTGCAATTAGCATTAACATGAAAACATATTGAAATAAAAAAATCCTGGACCTTCCTGTCTGGCCTGGGCAAGACGTGTTAGCAAGCATTTCCATACACCATATATAATGATATCCTGTAATAACTGTTGTTATCCAGTTCAGAAACTTGGATTTGCCCACAAGTGTCCGAGTGGGTGAGCTTCTGACCCACTTGCAGGGGAAAGGAGATGAAGCCTGCAGGGAGTTCTACAGAGCTCTTCACCTGCATGTGGAGGAGGTTTACTACAGCTTGCCTACCAGGCTGCGCCTCAGAGGTTAGTCTCCAAGAACAGTGCCTTTAAATCATATGTGAGCTATTTATTCATTATTTGGATATTACAGAATAGGCTTAAGGTATGTATTTGTTTGTTTGAGTATATGTTACATTGTATTCTTATCCGTCCTGCTCCAGTTTCCTTAGATCCACTCACAATTCCACGTGTCCACCAACAGAGACATGTTTTAAATGACAGAGGTAAGATGCTAGTTATTTATTCTTTAATGATGGGCAGCAAAATCCTAACATGATCAATGTATATGATAATCATTGTGATTGAAAAAAAATATGCCATTAGTGTGACGAGTAGTCATTTAATGCTGAGAAGTACACAGATAATTCATTCTATTTCTTACGTTATGCTGACCTCTTTCCAGGTCCGGTCTTCTTTCTGGGCTGTTTCAGCGTTGCAGTGGGAATGGCTTTACTTTACTACTACAGTGGTAAGTAACTTTCCAGTTTTTCAACATAACCTGACTTTGCAATGTTAATAATCAGATATTGTCAGTATTATTGGGTATTTATTACCAATTTAAGAACGCATGCTTTGAACATACTACTTCACTTAATGGTGTTCATTCAGTGATACAAAGATGGTGTCTTTGTTCTGTAGAGACAAAAGTGACGGGAGGTAGCCGGGCCCTCGGGATGGCGTCTCTGGGTTTGAAACGAAAAGCTCAGGAAGTTCTCATATGGTACACTGAAGAAGGCCTCATGAAGTAAGGGAGGAGGGGGGCGACTCCTTCACACCAGGTGCTTCAGCAGTTCTGCTCCTATGAATTGTACCAAAGCATAGCACACTATATATTTTCAGGATTTGATACTCATTTTGTACACACTTGTATAAAGTATTCTGGTTGTGGTCTAAAATGAGGAATATGGGGTATGTTTTGAGCTACATTTGGCCCTTTGCTATGTTTTCCTCACATGTTGTTACCTATTTAAGTTGGCAAATGGGAAATCAAAAACAAGCTCATTAAACAAGTTGTTCTCACTACCTTTTAATGTGGAACAAAATAACTTTTACAAACCAAAATTATACATTTTGAAAAAATAAATATTTACAATTGGAAATATGTTATTGACTATAAATGGTCAATTTTCAGCAAAACGCTAAATATAGCCTCCAATTAATTGGTGTATTTCGCAGTCCTATAATAACTATCCTTAAATGCAGAAATTACAATTTGGTACTGAGACTATCCTAAAACATTTTTTTTGTGATGAAGTTTAACATTGGCAACTGATGTCAAGCATACAATTTAAGAGTTCTCCCCAAATTTAGTCAGAAACCAACCCCATGATGCTCAGCATTGGTGGAACAATACTGCCCTCTTGTGGCTAAAAGTGAACTACATCACCAGCAGTGCACACATATGTTGGCTTGTTTTGGTTTCATAATAGCTTCCCGAAAATCTGCTGCTCACATTTAGACAGAAAACGGGATAAGGCGTTTTAACAGGAAGATATTATATTGAGCCGTGTCCGTATAATAACACTTTTAGACGAGTTTTGCAACCACGTGTTTCCCTCCGCCAATGAAACACGCTACCAGCGCAGTGCATTATGGGAAGAGCTACCAAAAACATAAATAATGTCTAATGAAGAGTCGTACTAATACAAATGAAACACTAATTGAACTTTTTACGGATGAAATATTCACCATGTGTGTCTAATATATGTGTTTTTGTTTAGTATCCTATTCGGAAGTTACACCGTAATGCAAAGTAGGTTCCATATGTCCGGGTATATATAGGGCGGACTTGCATAATAGCTGATGTGTTGTATGAAAGGAGAGAAGGTTAGCACTCCCCTCGACAAGGATGGAATTGGCCCTAGTGGCCATCAACACATATACGGTTAAGGCACTGCCACCTACTTCGTGGCATCTATAACCAGATTTTTTGATTAGTATAAATTCGACTTAATCCAACAATTATTTACTATCTCTTAATTTTCTTTTCCCCGTTCAACGTTTAGACCATTTACTCTAAGAAAGGAAGCATGCCTTAACATTTTCCCGTGTCTTTGTTTCCGCTGGGTCAGGCAGGATGTGAACTCTTATTATGTTCCTCTTTGCCTTCAGCATTTAGCCTCTGCTGAATACACGAAGGGTTACTGAAACTCCTGTGTTTTCTATCTCATAGAAGGAGCTAATAAACTCAGTTTGTGAGCGTTAAAGTGCATTCAAATTTGTATATAATTCACAGCTATAGATATTGTAATTTATAGAGTAGAGTGGATATTATATTAATCTCATTGTGCCTTTTGGTTGACTATTTGTCAATAATTTAATAAATTGTATTAATTTACTCTACACAGATAGGTAGAATTAGTTGGTATTTCTCAGGCTGTTTGTAAACCATGACATAGAGAACATGCTAGTAACTATCATAATGGTGCTGTGGTACGACTGTCTCTTTGTTAATTGTCTCTTGTTGGGGTAGACTTCAGGGTATCAAAAGCCAATACCAAGAAAATCTAAAAATGTTCAATGTGCATGACTTTGTTGTTATTGTACGAATTAATTTTGTAATATTATTCTAAAAGGAAATATTGATAACTGATTTTGGATGTCCATTGCCTGACGGTTTGTTACATTTTGTGTAATGTGTCACGTACAAAGGCCTTAAATTAGAGGTGCCATCGTTTGAACTGAGACTTTTGTCTTTTACAAAAATGCATGATAAGAATAAACGGGACAAAAAACACATCTTATAATTTCTGAAGTTTTATTTATAAAATGTATTTCAAAAGAAGTCACAGTGTGTAATACAAGATCATGTAAAGCTTTGGAAAAATTTGGTCATTTAAAAAAGTGATTTAAAAAAAAGCCTAAAAGTAACCACATACACAATATACTGCAAACGTTTTTAACTAATATATACAGGTAAATAAGTTCAAACAAAACACACAAGGCTTTCGACAGCACACGAAACAGAGCATGTAAGGTCCACTTCATTGGATTGGTTGAGGTTTATGAAAGTGTAAACTGTTTAAAATGTTTCCCCAAAGTAATAAAGCTTTTACAGTATATCATGTAATGCCTCATGAGCAGCATGGTCCATGATGCATTTATTATTAAGGATGTCTTTTGGGTTATGCTATTGTGATTATGTTCTTTTTTTCTAAGGCTGCAGGCATACATTGTGGTTTAGACTGACAGATACTGACACATTTCAAAATAAGGGATGAAAGTCTTTTTTGGTTCCTGATTAGTTTTCCTTTTTTTTTACATAGGTAAAGGCAGTCATTTATCAGCATCGGTAACCTGAGCATGATGAGGTAACAAACGGATTGATGGCCACATGAAATAAAAACAGACCGAAGACTTATCCAAAGTCAGAGGAAGGGAACTCTAACACACATACACACACACACACATACATATACACACACACACACACACACCAATTACCAGAGTCTCATGCCTAGGACGTCAAAAAAATGGAAGTGCAATGCCACTTAGTTTGGGGAATAAATATTCTGCATATTTGTGTAAATAATGTGGAGGTCCTTCTTTACTAAGTTGATCTGCAGGCATGTAGAGTCGTGTAAAGGGTGATCAAGAACTCGGGTTGGGCCGCTGTACACCAAAGGCTGTAATGAAGACGTTGACCACGACTATGATAAAGACAAAGGCTGTGGTGGTATTCTCCAAGATGTTCAGCTTGAAGTGCATGCTTGCATCATTCAGGTTCCACTTAACTGTAAAAAGAAAAAAGAAAATACATTAGTTTTGCCTAGGCAGTAGGAGTAGGCCTGCCATCCCCTCAATAAACTATCACAGAGTTTCCTGTTGGATTGGTAATCATTTCTGAGCTCCATGGTAGATGGACAACATCTGACAGCACAGCCCTCAGGTGAATAATGTGCTTCTTCCTCCATTAGGACATTACATGCTTCGCTGGGTTGAGAATTATTTTTTTTTAGAAAGAGAAGGTCTGTTTTTCTTTTTTAACGGCCCTCTCAGATTTGGCAAATCTCCAAGACATGATTTATTTTCCAAAAGTTAAGAGAGCTCTTTAAAACTGGAAACAGCTGACAGCAGAGGCATTTCTTCCTGTTATGGCTCTATAAACTCAGCCAACAGTGTTAGGATAAGATAAGGAGTCAAAGGAGTGGTGAGCACACTGATATGTATGTGCTCCCAGGGTTATATGCCCAGAGAAGCATAAATATTATTGTGCTTCTTTTTGTGTGGTTCGTTGGTAGACCTGTAAAAACTCAACAGCATGAGAAATGTAATATCCAATTAAATGGTTTTAGTTGTAGAGAATGATTGGCCAAAAAAGTCCTATCAATGAACAGCAGTTGTTAGTTGTGTTCCCATGTGACAGTGTAGTTACAAATGCACACACATTGTAACAAGTACACGTTTTTTGACCCGGCCTTTGCCTGTAACAGCGGGCCCAAAAAGTCCCATTTGTGACTTAAACGGGTGTGCATGTGTAACTTCAGTATCACATAGCATGGGAGATTTGAGTATTGACTCCGACCGTCACTCTCGGAGTCGGTTGTCGAAACCCTAGTGCATGCGTTTGTCACCTCCCGCTTGGACTACTGCAATGGTGTCCTGTTCGGGGTTCCCAAAAAAACCCTGGACAGGCTCCAGTATGTCCAAAACTGTGCTGCTAGGGTACTCACACACACAAAGCTGTGGCAGCACATCACTCCCACCCTCATCCACCTACACTGGTTGCCGGTCAAGTCCCGCATATCTTACAAAGTACTCCTCCTTACCTACAAGTCCCTCCATGCCCTTGCCCCCCAGTACCTATCGGACATCCTTCACCCACATGCCCCACCCCGGAACCTGCGGTCCTCAGACTCTGGCCTGCTTACCACCCCCCGCACCAAACTGCGAACCTTCGGGGACAGAGCCTACAGTGTGGCAGCCCCCACCCTCTGGAACGCTCTCCCTGCGGAGATTCGCAACATCCCCACACTCAACGCCTTCAAAAGGGCCCTCAAGTCCCATCTGTTTGCCAAGGCTTTCGGCCCCTAATCGATCTGTTGTTTTGTCTGTCTGACTTTTGTTTTGTTATGTTTGTTTTTGCCCTATTACTTGTAAAGCGACCTTGGGTCCCTTGAAAGGCGCTATATAAATGCAAGCTATTATTATTATTATTATTATTGAGTTTCACAGAGTTGTCTGCCTTGAATCTGTAAACGGATTTTCACAAAAGCAGTTCCTTTTGTTACATAACAATTGTTATAATCAAGTCGACACACCTAGCTAATCTGGACAAAGTAAACATGATCTCACATTTACTTTACACAATGTTGCAGTAGAAGACACGTTCTTGTGAGTAGCAGAGGACCAAAACAATATATTTTATATATTTCAATGATCTCTTTAAATATATAAAAGCCTGGAAAATAAGAAATTGGAGACTCTCAAATCACCTATGAAGATGAGCAGAACTCCCACTATGATTTGTAGGATGAGGGAGATGCTAATGAGAGTGATAAGGGGTGCATAGAAGGTGAAGCCAGGTCCTTGCTCCATCACAGCCTTCAGCTGTGAGGCGTTGGCCATCAGTAGAGCTATATCCAGCATGCTCTCTGCCGCACTCTTCTTATTAGCATAATGGTTCATGTTCAGAAGCTCCTGTGGCCTCCTCCCTTGGCCTTGCAGCGCGACCTAAAGGCAAACATAAACCATGACATCAGTATGACATCAGTATTGACGGTTAGAAATGTGGTAATTCCATTCCTCTATTAATGTCTCAATTATGGTAGATTTCATGAACATAAAATATGTTGTCATCAGGTGTTAGTTATTTACTTTGTGATGTAGCATCTGAGGTATTTTTATTAAGTGTAACCTCACCCTCCGGTCTAAGCCAAACTCTACCCTCTGCATAAATACAAACAATTCTACTAAGTGGGAAAGAGGCAGAAAAAGGGGAAATAGATTAGAAAGACTAAATGACATAGATACGTACAAACAGGTCCACTCTGTCCGCCGAGCAAGGTTGCATATTTGTACATTTGGTAAGAAATGTCAATATTAGCCGCAGCATTGGTGAGTTTAATCACAGTGGAGTCATATCATTTCCCTTACAGCTTAAACATGTGTATGTGTGCACAAATTCTTTAAACTTAACAGATGTGGTCTAACTCACGACACTTCTAAATGAACCCACTCTGTTAGTGTACTGATGTAATAGAAATAAACACATTGAGTATTTTCACTTTCACCACTGTAACTCTAACACTGCAAACAGCCTGCTTTCTTCTCCTGAAATTGTGTAAACAAGGTTTATAAATGAGTGGGACAAAATAACAACACACTGCTGCAAGCATGTTGAGTTTTATTTAAATATGTGTGGAAAAATGATGTCACCTTCTCAGGAAATACAGTGCTGGAAATGCGGGGGTTCTTTTTCAGCCTAAATCTTCCATTTAGAAATAATTGTGTGAACTCGAACAGTGATCAAAGCTGGTCCAGCATAAGTTTGAAAAATAAGATAATGTTTAAAACTCAACCATGACAATACATTTTATCGCAACTGATCAGCATGACGGCAAAACTATAATCCAGATTTGCGCAATTCCAGTATTTTAGTTTTCTATGAAAAAAAAATGGTGGAAGTGAAAGTGTACAGTGGCTAAATTGAAACAGGAACAACCATGGCTCTCTGACCAGGTCACAAAACTGATGCACAATAATGACCTCGATCTGGTTTCACTAAATACACCATATGTAAAACCACATAGTACAGTGTGGAAGACAATCAATTGTCCATGAATCATTTTCCCTACTTTTTGTAGAACAGTAAAGAAATGGGTTACGTTTGTCTCTTTGGTGAAATGAGACTGTAGTAAATGGTTAACTGAAAACAAAACTATCACATCACAGGAAGCCAGGGTCTGAGGTCATGAGTTTAGATCTGTTCTCAGGGTTTCATCTCGGTGGAGAGTAGTTCAGAGATTGCAACAAAGTCCCCCTTGTGTAAAGGTTGACAACGTCGCACACTGAGGCTCAGCTTAGCGTTCTTGTTTCTTCAGGAAACTACCAAGTCACAGAGGAAAAAGATGCTCTTGTGGTAAACCAGCAGTGTCAGAGTCAATAACTGTCCCATTAAATGTAATTGTACTGTTACAGCTTCATTTTCACTTTCTGTCCTCTGACTGAGTATAGCTTCCTATAAATACGGTGCTTTCTAGGGAGGAGAGAGCTTTCTTTAAACGTTGGTTATAATGTGTTCCTTATGTGGTGTGGTTTTTGGGAGAAGGTTTTTATGTTCTCTTCTCAGAGAACCTGGATTCTTGCTGGTTGTGTGAAGCCTGATACATTATTTTCAATATTGGGTTATACAAGTGACATTTATTTGATTTTTTGTTAACGGCTTGCTGCCCAAAACAAAACATTTAAATTGTAGCACGTAAATTATGGAAGTACAGAACAAGCAGATTTTTTCAACATCAATTAACCTGTTTCAATGATTGTTTTTTGGATTATCTATTGGTTAGACTATTACATGTTCCTATAGCAGCTCATGATGACATAATTTAAAGCTTTTTTTATATATATATATATATATATCATTTAAAAAGAGGAACAATTAAAAGACAAGTTCATAGAAAATAATGATAATAACTTAAACAATCGAACAATAAAAAAAAAAATTAGGCTGGATTAATTGTTTCCTGTAATTAATTTCCAGTAACGCATATGATGACTTCGACCACTTCCCATTAATAGTTTTGAATACATTAACGGATTAAATTATATTAGTCATAGATGACTTGTTACGCATTGAGGTTATTATTAGTTATACATGGTACCAGTGGAAGAAAACATTAATATTCTTTAATTGAGTTAAAGTTACAATACAACACTGTAAATATACTAAATTGAAAGTAAAAGTAAAGCATCGAGAATGGCACCCAAGTAAAAGTATTTAGGTACGATTAGGAAACTATATTTAAAGTATTAGGACTAAAAGTACTCATAGCAGAAAAAACTCAAATAATATTTAAAAGCAAAAGCAGCAAATCTTCAAATTTAAGAAGCTGGAGCTGTGAAAAATGTTTTGAACCAAAAATGTCTTAGCAAAACGACTGCCAATTAATTTTCTGTTAACTCATTCATGCTTTTTGTTACTTAAATATAACTTTGGATGGTTCAATATACCAATAATCATATTTTAAAGGTTTTTCCTAAGTATTGTGTGTCAGAATCGGAATTTATAAAGTATCTAATAGATAACTCTGTAAAATATATGTAGTGGAGTAAAAAGTACAAAATGTGCTTCCAAATGTACAAAAAGTACAGTAGTATAGTAGAGTAGTATATAATACAAATAGGCTACTCGACAGGATGATGAAAAATGACAGTAGCTCAAATGTGTACTTAAGTACAGTACTACAGAATAAATGTACTTATTTACTTTCCACCACTACACAGTACCATTTATATAAAGGGGAGCCAGTGTAGACCCTCGGACAGGCTAATAACACACACATATTTATTGTTTAAGAGAGCAGATGTAAGTTTGCTTTTACATTCCTGAATGTGACCAGGTTTTAACAAGCACAGTTTAAAGCTATTTAGCGTTAGGTCCGATCAGATCATATCCCTGGTTTACATCACCTGGAGGTGGATTCCTTTACAGAGCAATGCTTGTTGGATCTAATTTACACCCACGTGGTCATCATTAAGATGTAAACTGAGCCCCGAGGACGAGAACAGGGCAACAAAGGCAAACTCAGCTCACAACACAAACACACGTTATCTGTTGAATAGAAACTAATGCTAATCTGCTAACCGGTCACATTGGCTTAATGACCTCAAACCCAAACACGGAATGACACTTTAACAATGGTCAAAAAACAAACACCGTTAGGGTGCGTGGAAAACAACAGTAGACAATAGATATCCGCTGTACCCGATCAATATATCTTACTTGTGACTGTTTTTGAGGGGATTTTACCCCGCCTGAGCAGCCCTGGATGTTAGGGGACGCTTTACATTACGCTGTCTTTTGTCACGGACACCGGTATTAACTTACCTCCGCCTCCCCATTTCGGTCGGCATCACCGTTCATTTCATAGCTGTCCGTAGCCATCTTCTTAATAACTTTATCCAGAATAGCTTGGTTTATACTGAGTGTAGGGTAAGGGTTCAAGGGAGACGGTGGTTCAGCCGGCGGGTACAGAGACTATATAAAGGCTAGCGTGACGACAAGAGGGTAGAAAAACTCCAGGCTACCGCCCCTCCTACACGGGGGAGCCCGTCCTCAGAGAGCGGGCTGTTAGTGTAAACACGGCAGGTTGCTCACTGGAATGTATGGGGGTATTTCCCACAGTTGAAGAGAAACCATAATTTCTTCAGAAAAGCAGCGTTTAGGACTGTAACGTTATTTAGCCCTGGCTCATGGTGAACAGACTGTGAAGGCAAGATGACGTTTTATTGCCACCTTGTGTATTAATGTGGTATTGCATGCTCAACTCTGGATGTCCTGGCGATGCAATGAACCAAAGGGTGCTGTATTTTGTCCTAATTTAAACCAATTCAAACTTGTTCAAGGAAAACATACATTTGACATACTGAAAAACTAGATTTTGTTTCAGAGCTTTCTAAAACACCTTCTACATAAGTGACACCATATGTTAATTAAAGCTTTTGATTTTCTTTGGTGATGGATTTTACAAGTTCAATAAATAAATACATTATTGAAACTTGTTAATTGGCTAATTAACCGATTCCAGTAGGGGCCCTGGGGTTTCTTTTTTATTCCCCTCCTTCCCTTTTTCTGTGCATAATTTATACTTATAAAATAACATTTTCAAGTTGAACACAACAAAAGATAATACAAAAGAACAGAAGTTGCCATCTTTGCCTAATTGTCCATCTAGACTTGAGTGCCACCTACATGTATACTTTTTAGTGTAAAAAGTTAATTAATTAATTAATTACAACTTTGGGAAAAGTGTAAAATCATTATTATTGAATACTAGCATAATAATGATCTTACACCAATGACAACTCGAAGTACTTCTTACTTGAAAACCAGGAGGTATTTATAGGGATTAAGCAATCATACCATATAAGTTAATTCTGTTTTAACCTTGCAGGGGTGCGTGGTAATGTTATTATATTGATCCTATACTAAATTATTTTTGTCTTTTCCCCCACAAGTCAGATCCTGTAAGTGTGTATCTATTTTAAGAAGAGTTGGCAAAGTAAGATGAGCAACATAGTGAGAGTCTTAACTGAAAGTCTTATCCAATGAAACACATGCAGTCATGTGTGTCTTCAGGAAACAAGACAATGAATGGGATGGCCATACACTTTTGTTTGCCACATTCAAGGCTTCACATTGTAAACCGCCCCCCCAAACATTGACCGCACCCACCAACTGGTTCCTATTATTTCCTCTGTTTCCCTGGTGATCAGGGCAGGTTTGACTGAATGATTGACCCCATAAAATGTAAAAATGTTCCTTTAAGTCGATTGTTGTTAAGAAAGAATAATATAATTTAGACCTTAAGTGAATATTTTGACCTATTCATTCATGTTCTTAGTATATTGTTTCCCTTTAAATGTTCTAACTCTTTGGTATGAAAAAAAACGAAATGTTAATCCTATACAAGCATGACAATATGCATCTCAGACCTCTGTGTAAGTCAGAATGTTAAAAACACCTTTGTTTAATTTAATGTATTTACTATATGTATTTAATCAAGGCTTGCATTTGTAAAGCTGATACAAAGCTTCACAATATGGACACACATTTTAAGTTTAAAAACTCCCTCACTTTATCACCCCTTTCCAAATATTTTTCAAAGATTAGAAAATAATATTATTTTGTTAATTACTTATTGTTATTTTGAAAGGCCAATGGAAAAAGTATTTTTACATTCGTTTTCATTAATGCTTTAAAATGTTGTTTTAATGGCAGACACTCATGTTAGTTTGGGTCTTGTTGTTTGTATTGAATGTTTACATTGGTTAATCTTCATGTAACTATAGCATCTCAACATAGTGCAAATGCCAATGCACAACATTACTTAAACCCCAAATCAATTGTTGACATTAAAACATAATATAGCTGAGACCCTAGCCTGTCATTAGCTGGTAATAATATTCTATCATATATTTTGCCAGAGAAATACAGTTGGTGAAAAGTGTGCCAACTAACCCTGGTCTCACCTAGGCTGTAGTATAATAGGCTAATATAATAGCATGACGTACTTTATACGCTTATAATATAATATAATAGTACAACAAGTATATAAAAAGCAATTTTAAAACAATATTTTAATTATAAAATAATTCAGATAAAACCAAGGTGAAACAATGCTGTGTTTCTAAATAGAATTTTAGAAAGCACTTTATTTAATTACTAGCGTATGTTATGTGTCATGTGTCGTATTCATTGCCCCCCCCCCCCCAGCAGCACAGGCTCAGTATTGTATTAAGATGGTCTCCGGTGCGTTTTACACGGTAGCCCATAATCCCTAGCAGCGTCCCTTTTGGTTGGTACGTTAGACGTTCTTATTATACATCCATGCGTTAGACAGACATCTCCTCACAGGAAGTTTACCGCGTCACCACCGGACGGACATGTGGTCCATTCATAGGGTCCATGCAGCCTCTGTCACGGGAGGCTGAGGGTGCCGCCTAAAAGCGTGCCGAGTTATTGGATACGTGTTGTTGCTAGGGGCGTGGGCTGTGCCGTGAAATATTCTAGTTTTCCTAAACCTGGACGAGATTAAATACAGGAAGACAGCAGTCATATAAACTGCACGACAGATGAGCAGATTTATTTGACCTGAGGGAAACTGTGCCGCAGTGAGACATCTCTGATAATCGCTTCTGTCCATCCTGCACTCCGCGGGACTGTAAGGAGAGTACGGAGGATAGTTAAAGGAGCGACGCAAAGAAGCTGAGGTCGCACTTCTCGGAACTCATTTTCACCCGGAACACATGCTATTCATTTGCATCAAACGCTTGATGAGTGTTTACAGGGGATGACAGCTGCGCTCTTGGTCTTCCCGTGATGTGACTTTGCAGGGATTAGTGAGCGAAACAGCCTAAACATCCTCTGTTCACACAGGCCAGCGGTTTGTCTGCGGAACAAATCACATTATATAGTTTGCGCTGGAGCAGGGACCTTATGCAATGTGGAGGGAACTGTGTTCGTGAGCTCATATATGTTGACCTGGCAATGACATTAGGTTTAACTTGAATAGCTCCGTGCTGTATTGCAGCAAGGTGGACCGGGGCGTGAGGTGGCAATGCGCGCATCCTCCGAGCTGGACATTTTGTGGGGGTGTTATGTTTCCTAAACACATTTGAAGCATAAGGCCATACATCCATCCTGAGCTGGCGAACTGCGTCACTGCATGCGAGTGTTGCAGGTAGGCAGTAAACTCTCTCACCGCCGGGAGAGGAGCATCATCCTCTCTGCACTATGTCTACGATAAGCGCTTAACAGAGCAGCAGGGATGGATTCGGCGGATCATTCCAGTAACGATCCGCCACTGGGATCCACATTTTCCTCAGCACCCAATTTAGATTCGGACATTAATGCAAACGGCAGTAGGGCTATATATCAGAATGGGACGGACTACAATGTCAACAACATCCAAATGGCAGCCCTGCGAGGAGCCAGTGACCCCAGCGCATACCCCTCCACAGACTACCGCGCGCTGGTCCGCCAGAGGTTCATCCGGCGGAGTTTGTGGTTGTCAGACTCCGAGGAGCAGCAGCCGGTGGACACGCCGGAGCCTGTCAACAGCAGCCCGGTGCTGAACATTGACCTGAGGACCATCGTTGATAGGACTCGAACCCGGGTTTTGCAAGGAACCCGTCTGGGCCTCCAGGAGACGTCCAGCACGGAGAGCCAGGTGGGGAAGAAGGACAACCCCTCAGAGAGTGCAGATGAGGAGAAGAGACACCCGATCGAAGTCGAGCCAAAGGTAGAGGTGGCGCTTTCGGACGTTTCAGGTAAAGCCGGAAGTGACGAGAACGAAGAGGAGCCAGGGATGAAGGCTGTGTCCACTTCACCTGGAGGGCGCTTTCTCAAGTTTGACATTGAGCTGGGGAGAGGGTCCTTCAAGACTGTCTATAAAGGTCTTGACACCGACACCTGGGTCGAAGTGGCATGGTGTGAACTCCAGGTGGGTTCATTCATCATTCAAGGCCAACATTAGCCACTGATATAGCACTTTGGGATTTGTCTTCAAATATGAAGTGCGTTACAAATGAAACCCATTATTATTATTATCATTATTATCATTATTATTATTATTATTATTATTATTATTATTATTATTTTTTTTTTTTCATTGATTTAAAGATTTGTATCAACAGAATAGTTCTGTTCCATTGTTTTTTATACTCTGATATTGCTGAGGTACTGCTTTACAGCACCAGATGAGTTACTGCGTTTGGTTCCTATGGGGGAACTGAGAAAAGGCATTATTCAGAGTAATGTTACAGGGCACAGTGAGGAGGAGGTGACTGTCAGTCATGTTCTCTTTGTCAGCACTCACTTTGCTCCAGCCTTTCCTCTCATAATTCCCACCCTTAATGTTTCTTTATCATGTAGTTTTGTGTTTATCAAAGACATTACGAGACTTTAATATTCAAATTTTCAGCTATATACTTCCTTGAGATATAACTAAATTAAATCAAAGTATTTCAGCATTCACACCTTAACAGTGTTTAGCCCATTCACAGCGTTGCCAGGTAATCTTTGACACTTTAATTAGTCATCATTTTAGCATGGAGCTAATACAAACATTATAGCAGTGACAGCTTACTGTATCAAATTACTACCAGGGAAACGACCCTGGGATTTGGTTCAGCCACTGTCAATAGTTCACATCTTCTATTAGTTGATATAATGGACAGTTGTCTAAGACTGAGTCATGCTATAGCACTACTTTAAATATTGGGTTTACCAGAGATGTGCTCATGAGTTTCTTGGAAATAAGTCATTAAAACATCATTACATTTTCTCCCATCAAATATCTTTTTAATCAGACTTCGATTAGATGCGTTGTTTGAGTCAATGCGCTAGCTACCTGTGTATTGGAGCTCAACATACATTTATGAACTTCAGTCTATCTTAAAGTGAGGATAGTGGTTGTGACTTTGAGACGCAGCCCTGCAGCAGTATTTTATAGGTTTGGTGCGGTTTGATAACGACCAGAGCTGATGCTTTTTTTTGTCTTCCTACTGTTGCAGAACTCAGGTTCACCCCATCAGGCCTGGGGGAATAAGTAATCACAGCACAACTCAATAAGGTTTAGACATAGCATGAAATCACTATTACGTTGTGCTTATCTCACAGCTTTTTGTTGGCAACAACACAGGTCCAGATTCAAGTGAGGCTACGTGAAGTTCACCATTTTATTTAATGCACATGTATATTATACATATAACGAGCATTATTTGCATGGGCAACTTCAATCAACCCTTGTTGGAATTAAGGAAATGTGTTCCTAAATGATTGTGCAAAAGGTGATGAATTGTCCTGGTTTCAACCCACATTTTAGCCTGCTTCCTCTCAGCAGTATACGTTTAGTATCCAAGTCTTCACGGGTAATGCCCTAATGTTTTTTTAGAGTAACTATTTGCGTCTGAGCAGGTTTTTATGAGATTTAGTGATGATTCAACCATTCTGTCCCGAGATAAGGCCTTGCCCTGCAGAGCTTTTGTGCATCACTCACACATTGCTGCTGCAACTTAAATAGATATAGATACTGTGTGTGTTTGAGGGTAAAACTAAGAATGAGACAGCAAAAGACATAGATTTTCATTAAAAGATTTATAAATCAGATTTAAAAAGACGCCAGTGCCTGTTGTGGAGCAGAACAGCCTGCTGGACTTGTTACTTATTTATTCAATGAATGATTATTAAACAGCAATTTGTTACCCAAAGTGAGCAAATGATGCAACCTAATTCAGTAAACTGCCAACAAATGTCACCAGCTTGAGATCTGTGTCTCACTGTTGCACATTATTTGTCGTGTTTGATGGCTTAATTAGGAATACTAAAACTGGAGAGTGGAGAGTGAATCTTGCTGATGCAGCCCTCTGCACCAAGACAGAAAGAGAGAGAGGAGAGGGGTTCAGCTAAGGACAGCAAGATACACTCATTTCATACACAGCAATTCAAGAATACTATATTTATATTCATTTCAGCATTAGTCTCTTCATCAATCCACACTTATTGAGAAAAACCGGCTGTTCATATATTGTTGTTCTATGCTTTTATTGTTCAAAATGAAGATTCTTTGTTGTGTGCCACACCCTGCTCAGACCTCTCTGCCAAGAACCATTACTAACCTGTACATAAACTTCCTGGAAAATTGGACAATGTTACCAGAAAGATAGTTTTACTGTAATATATTTGTTATTAATGAGAATCACCATTATGAAAAGGGCTGAAGCAGGTGAGGCATATCCTTCACAATGCCGCTCGTAATCAAGCATGTAATGCTGCACACTGCATAGGTCACTGTGGACTGAATGAAATCTGATTCCCCAGCATCAGTCAACAATCAATGCGAAGTGATGTACAAGAGGTTATTGTTGAATTCCAGACATTTGAAATACTACATTTAACCTTATCGTTGCCATTAAAATGTGTGCATTGAGACAGCAGGAAAAAAATCCAGAGGTCATTCAGCATTTTGTGGAGACTGAGGCCATTGGGTTTTATCTGCCATGCTGACTGGAGAGAACAGAAATTTAGAGGATGTTCGCCCGTCAGCTGTTTTACTATTTATACAACGGTTCAGGGAAGGCAGGGGCCAAAATATTGATCCATGAGTATACACGGATTCACTCAGGCTTGTTACCCAAAGATACAATTTAAACTCTGAAGAATTGAACATTAACATTAATGATTATGTTCTTTTTTTATGTCTTGTATTCTTTGATGGATGAGAAGGAATCTCCGGTGGCTGTTTAAAACTCTTATTGTTATTTTCTTATATTACTTTTTATTTTTAACCAGCAGCACATTTGACATTAACTGATTAAAAATACGTCATAATGAAATGTAATCTTTTGTTTATCCGGCATGACAGATGTGTTTGTCTCTGTATCACACCACCAGATTAAATAAGCATTTTACTTTTCAGGATTTTACTCACAATGGGTGAGTTTATCGAGTCCTGTGTTTTACACACAGATCAAATGAAGTAGATGGTTCAGTCCTGCATGTTTACATACCAAAATGCCAATGCTGTGTTCACTCTTAACATGAGCCACAGGCATTTGTAACGGAGTGCCCACATCTGAAGGAATGGTACACTATTTAAAGAAGGTTTAAAGGGGATTTTATCTTCCTTTACCTCTTGTCAGAATATTAGAAAAACACTGACGATGATTCAGCACCTTCTTCCTCCCCCTCCACAACTTGTTCAATTTGGATTACATTAAACAGCACTGGAGCTTCTCCTATGATTGAGCATACTGACAAAAGTGAAGAATTCATTATTTTACATTCAAACATTTTTTCCCCCTAGGAACGGAAACTATCAAAAGTCGAGAGACAGAGGTTCAAAGAGGAGGCAGAGATGTTAAAGGCTCTCCAGCATCCCAACATCGTGCGATTTTATGACTTCTGGGAATCACCGGTTAAAGGGAAAAAATGTATCGTTCTGGTGACAGAGCTGATGACCTCAGGGACACTTAAAACGTAAGTCTATATTAAAACCCTTTTCTATAATTATTGATATTGGTGAAGTCATGGTATGTTTTCCGTCTTAGCTCATGTGTGTCCTTTTCATCCTTATACCCATCAGTAAATCACTGATTGTAAGTTGCACATATTAGTCTCCTAATATTAGTTCACCTTACAGTTTAATGACCATTGGACGGTCAACATCATGTGTATCAAGGTTTATACTTATTGCCTTTATTTTTAGTCAATGTGGTTTGAACCCGAAAAAGTATTTACCTGGTGACAACTTGAACATCTCCTTCGTCCCACAGGTATCTGAAGCGCTTTAAGGTGATGAAGCCTAAAGTTCTTAGGAGCTGGTGCAGGCAGATTCTCAAAGGCCTCCACTTCCTCCACACAAGGACCCCTCCAATCATCCACAGAGATCTGAAGTGTGACAACATCTTCATCACTGGTCCTACAGGCTCTGTCAAAATAGGCGATCTGGGCCTAGCGACACTGAAAAGGGCCTCTTTTGCTAAAAGTGTTATCGGTAAGTCCTTGTCTTTATGAGAGATATATTTTAAACCTGCAGTAACTCTTTATGCCCTCTGCTCCAGTTGAAACATTATCACATTCTAAAATGATATGGCAAATGATACAGAGCAACATTTGCATTCATTTGTTTTGACTCTGGTTACCTGGAGTATGTAAGACCAACAACTCCTGAGGGAAATATCTGGCCCTTAAGCTTTGATTGAAAACGTTTTTTTAAAACAAAGATTAACATCAAATCAAAGTTTCAAAGTTGCATCCCAACAATTTCTCTCTTGTCTGTCTTGTGAGTGAATACTCAAAACAGCTGTGTTGGGTTTCAGTCCTTGACACTGATATTGATCCCTCTGAAATAGGATGACACACTTAAAACTGCATTTTACTTTATCATTTATCCGTGTTTTCTTGCGTTATTCTCTAGGCACTCCTGAGTTCATGGCCCCAGAGATGTATGAGGAGCACTATGATGAGTCTGTGGATGTCTACGCCTTTGGGATGTGTATGCTGGAGATGGCCACCTCAGAATATCCCTACTCTGAGTGTCAAAATGCTGCTCAGATCTACCGAAAAGTCACCAGTGTAAGATCACATTTAAGACTGTCAAATTCTATTACAACTGCTTTAAGTCAGGATTAGCTGTCCTTAATGAAATAAATAAATATCGACTGTTAAACTTGGAGACATTTACAGGGTTTGCAGCCAATGATTGTTTTCATGATAAATAATCAAATGCTTTTTGATGGACTGAATAACCACACAATCTTTAACTTGTTAAAAATGTATGACACCGGCCCACATTTATTCGTTGTTAAAGTACGTCTTGAAATCTCATAATTAAGAGTTATAAAGTGAGATTTAGTCAGAGATGTAGAAATGTTTGCTAACATAAGCTGCCAAAACTACTAGTCATCAAAGCAAGGGTGAATTTACATCTTAAGAATTACATTACATTATTTATAATTTTTTCAGTGCATACACACATTTAGTCTGACCTTAACTAGCAAAAGTTAAATATTTTTTATTTAAAAAATGACTCCGTCTTACACTTTGAATCCTTTCTCATTTAATTTCAACACTCATTTAATCTTTTCAGTGCCAAAGAAAACCTATTGTACCGCAGTAGATTTGTAATTCCCCGAGTCAAGGTTCCAGGGAGAAATGGGTTTTGAATTTATGTGTTATTACCCTGCAGACAGCACGTTCTGTACTTCCTGGTATGTAGTCACACACTAAGGACTGCTATTTGTAATTTATTGAGTTGATAAATGCTAATGCTTGTTTGTATTGCAGGGGGTGAAACCTGCTAGCTACAGCAAAGTCAGTGACCCAGAAATCAAGGAAATAATCGGGGAATGTATCTGCCACAGATGGGAAGAAAGGTAAGGGGAGCTGGACCTTTGGCAGTGACGCATATTGTATATAGATAGAGGCTGATTTTTAACAAAACCCTGTGTTGTTTTGTTTCTGTTCCTGCAGTGTGACGTCAATACCATTATTTGGCTCTGGCCCAGTCAATGTTATTGTGTGTTATGCATCATTGATGTGAGGTTACTATCATCGTGGCCCGTAGCCCAGGGCAGTATCTGATGTTTATTTGTTTCCTGCAGGTACTCCATCAAGGACCTCCTGAATCACGCCTTTTTTGCAGAGGATACAGGCGTGAGGGTAGAGCTTAATGAAGACGATGATGGCAAGAAAGCATCCATTGCCTTGAAGCTGTGGGTTGAGGATACAAAAAAGCTGAAGGGGAAGTACAAGGAAACTGGTGCCATTGAGTTTTCCTTTGACTTGGATAATGAGGTCCCAGAGGTTGTTGCCCAAGAAATGGTAAACAAAATCTTTGAATTACCAAAAATAATCATTGTATTTTGATAAATATGCACAGAAAATAGTTGTAACGTTTATGCCATTGGGGGTATATAGGTGTACTAAACCAGAACAGTCAGGAGATCTAAACAAAGGACTGATCCCTTTTATCTTAAGACTTGTTTGGATGTCTATTGACCTTTGCTTTTTCACCGGCCCTGACTCACTTTTCTGTCCCACAAACTTCATTTGTCGACTCTTTGAAAATACCAATTTTTGATTGGCTGGCTTGTGTCTGTTAAAATTCATTGACACTTCAAAAATAGCTTCAATTCAGTGCGCAGGGAAGATTAAGCTGCAGGTAACCATAGCAACAATACTTCTTTGTTCTTCTAGGCACGGTGACACACAATGAGGGAGTGGAGGTAATTCAAAGAGATGCCTTTATATATCAGGACAACTTGTTGTGGATTATTAACTATGTAGTATAAATGCACTACAAAGGGTTCTGTATACAGAAGTGTCTTGTTATAATACAGTCTTTACTTTCGAACACAATCCTGGGCCCTTTTAGTTAGGTGTAATATATCTGGTTTAGTGGTCATGTCAGTAATCATACGCTTGATGTAATTATTGATTAAAACTAAAGGCAACTGATCGGTTGATCTTTGCTCTCCCATGTAATGAATGTCAATTTGTTTATTGATTACATATACTGTGGAATTACAACCTTAATTTGTTCTGAGCTGCAGTGATCATCTAACCTGTGTCCTGTAGGTGGAATCAGGTTTTTTTCTGGACTGTGATGTAAAGATAGTTGGGAAGTCCATCCGGGACCGCGTGGCTTTCATTAAATGGAAAAGGGAGCGGACTGTCTCTGCAGCTGTGAAGAAGCCGCAGCCGAACCTCCTGACGGTGCTCGGACCCGCCGTGCCACAGGCAGCCACATTAGCTACGACAGATGGTGAGGAACAGGAGGTGGAGCAGCAGACTCTGGTCTGCACCGTGCCAACCATAACGTCTATCACATGTGAGAACCTGCAATCAGTAAAACACATGAACGTATCCTACATCATACAAACTCATTAATCCATTAACAGGACAGGACACACTGCTATGAATCGTTAAATTGGTATATTTGAAAGTAAATGAGACTGCAGCATCCGAGTAAGACCGATTAGTCATCATAAGACATCATCACCCAGCTTTTGAATTTTAATGAGATGCTTCCCCTGTTCTTTCTCTGTGTCCGTCCTTCCTGCAGAGGACGTTGTTGAGAAATGTAATGTTTTATTCACTCTGTTATTACAGCTGACAGCGGAGTGGGCCCTGCCATGCAATTAGATGATCTAAATAATCAGCAGAGTATCTTCAACCAGTCGCTTCCAGAGCCCATCTCCACAGCTCAGATGATCTACAGTCCTCCTGCTCTGGTTGAGCCTCAACACCAGGGGCCATACCAGCAACCCACAGCACAGGCCTCTCAAGAAAGCTACACACAAACATCCTCTCAATTACACCAGGGGGCCTACCAGCAAACCACAGATCAGCTGCATTCTGGGGCCTATCATCAACCTGCAGCACAACTGCACCAGGGGCCTTATCAGTCTCAAACCGTGAGTGACAGCATTTCTAATTTCTCTCTGGAAACTTTCGTAACTTTTTTCATTGAAATCTTTGGAATTTTACACTGCAATAATTGCCTTGTATGTTATGACAACAGTGTGTTAGAAGGTCCTACCATGTCAGGCATTAAGGTTAGAAAACCCTCTCTCACTAAGACAATGAATAAAAGCCCCTCTCTATGTCCTCCACAGGATCTAGCTTAACCAATAGCATAGAACCCAGCGCATGCCACAGGCTTCGTATCCTCTAACTCAGCCCATAATCCATCATTATTATCTTCTCAAATGCCCCCACATACACACTCACATCATGACTCAGCAAGTCATTTCAATTCACCTCTGCATCCCCTGAGTTTACTGCCTCCCTCCTCCCTCCGTCTGAGCGTCACAGCCCCCACCTCCAATGAAAGGCTTGCATGTCTCTCCTCATGATGGTTAAGACAAAGGGAGGAGCATCTCTGTGACACAAAAATATACACTTTTTCTCCACATCTGCTCATTTATCTTCAGTCTCTAACCCCGGCTCACCCACATCTCCTATATACACTTTTCTTTTTCTTTTTGGCCCTATTCTCAAACAGTCAACCAGACCCAGTGACTTCCCCTTCACATCTTTCCCCACCCTCAAAATTGTGCTCTCACTGAGTTAATATGAGGGTGGATATCTCTTCTGATCCACTTTTCCATCACATCATCAATCGCATTACTTGTTAAAGTAATTACACAAACATGACCATGTCAGACTACAAATAAGAACAGGGCCCAATGCATGTAAACCCCACTATATGTTTTCTGACGGACTATTTCGGATCCATCTACGCCAGCCACTACTATGCACCAGAGTAGGCAGACAGCACAGAGCTTCCCAACTGCATACCCCAATCCACAGCCACAGTGTACTGCCCAACGCACCCAGGAGCAGGTACTGCATGCACCAACTGCGACAGGCCCTGGCAACAGCTTAAGTGAGACACAAAAAAGGCAAAACCTTGGAAGTCAACACTTGCCAACAGAGGGAATTGTCCCAAATGCTTGTTTGATATTTAGAAATATTGATTCTATCATCGGCATTCAGTGTCACCTGTTACAGATAACCAAGACATTTCAACATAGAGGAGATTATTGTGCTATTTAGTGGTACCAGCTATCTGAAAGCACACTATTTTGAGTTATATCTGCATGTGAGGTGGGTACAAACTGTATCTGATACCTGTTTTAAATTCCTCATCACATATTGTACAGTATTTGTTTGTGTGTGTATATGTCAATGTAAATGGTTTTACATTTGTTTTTTGTTTCCTTCCCATTTGCCTTTACTCCATGTAGTGCAAACTTCAACAAGCTGCTGTCCTGCCCCAGGTATGGCAAACATTTATTTTAACTTAACTGTGGGCTACAGTACATACACTACAAACACCACAGAATAGTTGGATCAAATTAAGTCTGCCTGCCACGCAGCTCCCTTTTTTAAAGTGGAGCTTAGACTACAATTTCTTAAAGGGGACCTATCATGCAAAATGCACTTTTGTACGTCTTTTATACATGAATATGTGTCCCCGGTGTTCCAGGGAACTCACCAAGTGTCAGAAAACACAACCCTCTCTATTTTCCTCCATACCCAAATCTCTAAAAAAGGGGCTGCAACGGATCTGATAAAAACTGATCCAGATTTGAACACTGTCCTGACGTCAGGACAGTGGCGCTACGGCTATTGGGCCAACTCCACCAATCAGGAGGAGACAGCCACGGCCATTGCCGTCCGAAAGCGCTGGAGACGCTGTAGTACATATGCCAGGCCAGTAGATGGTGCTGTTCTCACAAAATCTGCCCTTGCAAAAACAGAGCTAAAAGATGTCAAATTGAGCAAAATTAGTTTGGTATTTTGAAAAAAAAAAAGTATAAATATGCCTTATATAGGTATGGTCCTACAATATATTATTCAAATATAGCATGATAGGTCCACTTTAAGTTTAATGCAGAAATCACTTTGTATTTCCATCACACAGTTTATACTCTCCATTGTCTTCTTAGCTGTTATCTGCTGAGCAGCCCACACCTCACCTGAGTCCTGCTGACATACCTACCAGTTTTCCACAGTCAGTGTCCAGTACTCCTCCCCCGCTCCTGCCCCATGAGATCAGCACACAGGTGCGTTGTAGAAGCATTAGCGCACAGTCACACATAAAGACCAGTGACCATCCCCTGCCATGGCGATATTTGCGTGAAAGTTCACCAAACTTCAAATTCACACGATGCAAAGATGCAAATTTGCTTCGCTACAGGAAGCAATATTTTCATACCCTTGCTTGCATAGAATAAAAGCAAATGGGTGGCGAATGTAAATTATGTGTGACTTTGCTTAGAAACATCAAATTATGGTAGATAACTTGGTAGAAACATCTTACTAATGTTAGTAGGTCATACATAAAGGGCCTGTCTGAATGTTATTTCTATCGACTGGTTGCCTTTGTTCATATTTGATCATTTTCCATTCTTTCCCAGTTTTCCTCACCATATCCTGTTCAAATAGGGTGCCTCAAGCCCTCCTCCTTCCCCCTTACTCCTCTGCCATGTGCCTACAGCAGCAGTGGCCCTCTTATGTCTAGCTCCCACTACTCACCCTTACTCCACCAACCCTCCCTTACTCTGACCTCTCACTCTGCCCTGTCCTCTCTCGGGTCCCCTCAGACCCCTCTGTCCACACCTCAGCACATGCCTAACTTTGCACTCCCTATTCCACTTTTAGCTATGTACATGTCCTCTGCAGTGCCTCAGCAGCAGGGCGGCCCTCTGACATCTCAGACAAACTTTAGCTTCCATACCACCCATACATTACCTCTCTCCCAGGTACAACCTATCCCATACCCTGCCCCCTACCCTGAGCAGGAATTGGCTCAGCCGCCTGTTCAGGTGAATATTTAGCTTAGTTCTCACTGTTGTGGTTGGGCCATTGGAAATCTCTAATACTATGGTAGCAATGTGTCTTGTGGATATAATGCATGCAGGGCTTGTGTTTAGGGATTTAGAGGTAAATATTAACCAGTTGTAATTTATTGATGAAGAATTCCCTAAATGTGCTATTGTTTCCTGGTACAGATGATTCCACCACAGGGTAATGTTGCCCTGATCCACCCTGGGTTGCCTGCTGTACGGACTCCTCTCTGGGAAAGTGGAGTAGATGCAGAAATGTCTACAGCTGTCCAAGACTTAACAAGTGCTCCTACAGTTTCAACTGCAGCCTCAATCTTAGGTCCAGCTCTAGTTGAAACTCAGTCCCAAACACAAACACCAGCTCTGGTCGCAGCACAAAACCAACAGCTTTCAGTATCAGTATCAGCTGAAGTCATGCCTCAAACTATGGATCCAACCTTTGTTAATGACCCACTGTCAGTCCCAATACAAGTTCCGACGGCAGTGCAAACGATAGCCCCAGTTCAAGCACCAATTTCTGCGTCGGATCTCCCTTTTGAATCACCAAAAGACTTATCGAAAAGCTTAGCCCCAGCCCCTGTTGCAGCTTCTGTCCCAGCTGCAGTTCTGCAGCCTGCTGGCATCCAGACAGCAGGCTCAGTGTCTGAGAGTGCCAGCGTTGCCACAACTCAGCAAAACTTTGAGTCCACATCTGCATCCGGCACCCTTCAACAAGAGTCCTGTCTAGAGGTGTGTACGTTTTTTGCGTGTAATATTGATCAATACACATATGCATATATACTTACTAAAAGAGCATGTTTTATATATTCTTGCAAGAATCCCTTCTGTAGATAATGAAACTTCTACCAAGGTCTCCTAACTGTTTTGTACATGCACAATTCTCTGTCTTCAGGATGCGCTTCAAGACAAACCCATAGGTTTACCCAATTACGCCTATGACAGGTGTGTGTGTGTGTCAAGATTTTCACAGTTTTTTCAGCTATTAACAGATTCTATAGAACTTTGTGTGATGAAAATGCTGACACCGACATAGAGGTGATAAAGTGTTAAACTTTTTATTTTATAGTTTTAACTCTGATGTGGCATCTGGTAAGGAAACAAGTGATGGCTATGACAGCTTGGCTAGTGGAGGGAAGGGGGACGGAAAACCCAGGAAGCATCACCGCAAGTCTGCCCGCACACGCTCCCGGCAAGAGAGGACCAGCAAACCCAAACTGAGCATGCTAAATGTGAGTCATGCTGTCATTTTTGAAGTTATAGTTTTTTCAAATTGTGATGTGTATGATTGTTAAGTGTATTTCCTGCCCACACAGGTTTGCAACACTGGTGATAAAATGGTTGAATGCCAGCTGGAGACACACAACCACAAAATGGTGACCTTTAAATTTGATCTGGATGGAGATGCTCCAGAGGAAATTGCCACTTACATGGTTAGTTGAAGCTTTTACAATTATTTGGTTATATTTATGACACTGTTTAACATATTTTAAATGGTATGCTTACAGGTAGAGAATGGATTTATCTTACTGATAGAGAAAGAGATCTTCATTGACCAGCTAAAGGACATTGTGGATAAAGCTGAAGACATGCTGAATGAAGACATTGAGGGAGAAAGGGTCTCCGCCCTAAGTTGTAGTCCTGAACAATGCCAGATATTTGAAGGACTGGCAGGAGAGGTAAGAGGGACTATACTCGTCAACTTTTGTAACGCTTGACTTGTGCAATCTAAACAACAAAAAATGTCCTAAACTTTCATATTTTAAGACAGTATAACAGCTTGATCATTACTTTCCTTGGTAATTTAGCTACCTGAATCAGTATGCAAATATTAATTAAGTTGAACTATTAGAATTGACTGCAAATATGATTTGGATTATATGTAGTTCATTACTCCCTCAATCAGATATGGTTATAGACATTTAAATACAGAATGGCAAGAATAATATTGACTTAGCTCATTGTCATCTGTCTTTCTCTCTGCAGTATCAGCAGCCTGGAGCACATCAGCCTGTCTATCAGCAGAATGGTAAAACAATAATGCCCTTCATATTGTATCCATCTGCATGTCTTTATTTTGAATGTCACATTCACCTGGAAGAAAATAAGTGGAAATTGTTTGAACAATTCTTCACACAGGAAAGAGATGGTTCATAATTTGCCCCGTTGAGGAGACACCCACATCCAGCCAGGAGACCCCGTCTGATGGGACTGTTACACAGTCTCCAGGCAGTTCCACCACTACCCAGCCTGCTGACAGTGTCACTGCAAAACCCAGAGGTGACTTTGTTGCTACAGAGCAATTTCATCCAAAATATACAGCTTCATAGAACAATAGCACTACTTTGTGGCAGCTGAATGAATTGCAGCCTAAAGCTCTTGTGTGCAATAATAGCTTTTAAATAAAAGGTTTCAAAAAAAGTTGGTATATATTTAAACTAATTGAAAGAATTTTCTCTCTTCTTGATTTTTGTTGTCCTCCAGAAGAAGGGTCGTCTTCCACAATGTCTGGTGGAAGTGGAGGCTTCACCTATGACGTCTATGGATTCTGTAGCCCTCCGATAATGTCCAACACAGACCCTCTTTTCTTAGCTACCCTGTCTCCCCCTGTTTCTGCTCCCCTGACCCTTCAGTCAGTGACATCAGGGGTGCCTGCTGGCAGCTCGGTGCAGCCCAGTGTTCATCATGCTCAGCCTGCCAAAGCACAAACTTTGCCCCCGTCATCTCCACATACGTCTTTCCCGATTGATGAGTCACGGGGATCGCCTTCGGAATCCGTCTCTCCAATTCATGCAACTCTGCAGATGCCCGACATGTCATACGCTGTTGCTATGGCTGACGAAGTGCCCTGCTGCCCTCTGGTTATGCCCTTATCTCTGGATGTGAGCGGTTTACAGGCTGTGCCTCCTCTCGCTCCACTTCCACTCCAGGAGCCATGTTCAGCCAAAGATCCTCCGCCTGTCTCCTATGCCTCGGCCGTACGCAGCGAGCGCCCACAGCAACCTGTGGTGCTTCACCAGCCTTTTTCCAGCGTGGGAGGAACCAAAATGTCCTCGGTACCCCAGAGCCCTGCGCCATCCCAGCACGGCGCAGGGCATGGTGAGTCAGATGGTGAAGGAAGGCTTGGCCGTGGAGGCTTTGTGGACAGCACTATAAAAACACTGGATGAGAAGCTGAGGAACCTGCTCTACCAGGAATATGCTCCCATGTATCCATCAGGCAGTGCTGCAGAGACCCCGGGCTCCTGCACCGAGTACATACAGTCTCCTCCAGGTCCAGAGAGTGCCGCAGGAGGGTCCGGAAACAGCACGCCGGGGCCGATAGGGGAGGGCCGCTACAGGGTAGGAGAACAGCTAGTAAGTACAATCCACAGTGACTTGTTAAACTGAATGAAAATATACAGTATTTTAGTCGCATGAAAAAAAACACTTTCTAATTTTAGAGTAAGATTTCATCTACAGTAAGATCTCATGAGAAATATTTAGTTAGAGATCAACTAAAGATTGTGTCTACATTAACAGGTGTATAATAAAAAAGTAATAAATAGTTTTATCGTAATTAATAATTGCTTGTTTTGTTCATCTCTTACCTTAGCCTCAAATTCCAGAGAGAATGGATAGTTTGAGCACATTGAGTGACTCAGCTGTGTGTGGTATGTACACACACTAATCAATCTAACAACCTGCTATCATTAACTATTTGTTGATTTTGGTAGTGCCACAGTGATCATTGTTGTTGAAATGTTTGCAGCTTCCCTGTCAAGAAGACACCTTCCTCACTCCACCTCCTGCTCTGGAACAAGAGGCCGATTTAAAGTACGATTACGAGATTTTACTAATTTAAACACATTTAAACACAGTTGGTAACTTTTATGAGGTCATATTCCTGAAAATATCACTATATCCTGAGAGAAGTTTCAGCAAATATGACAAAAAAGGTATTTAGCCAACTGTAGTTTTAAGGGGCAAGTAGAATTGTGTTTTTAGATGAGTTCAACTGCATTTGCTCTAACAGAAGCATTGCACAATGCCTTTAGCTGATTTGCTATTTTCTTTTTGCAGATCATCTCTGTTCCTCCTGAAGTAGCCAACAGACGAGATGTGAAGCAGAGGAGCTGGAGCAGCGCTGCCTCACCAGCACACCCTGTAGGGTACAGTGAGGACTACATCCAGGCTGAGGCCTTATCAGAATCCACCACAATTGGCCGTTTCTCTGTGGTTAGCACAGAAGATGACATGACTCAGAGGACGCGTTGCAGCCGATACTCTGCCCCGCCGGATTTCTACCTGGACACACCTCCATCAATGGCCAAGAGGGAAACTCTGCCTCGGGCCGTGACATCCAACTCTGTTGCTGTGGATGTCACGGTCCATGCTCGTTTCCTGTCCTCAGACTCAGGGGCTGAGAGCAGTCCAGCAAAGATGGCTCCTGCCACCCCGTCACAACATACTCGCTCTGAGCGCAGAGGAAGTGACCTCATGAAAAGGGCAGTGGCATTCCTCCGTCGCTCAGGGCGCAGCAGCAGTGTGCAGAGCTCTGACTCACCAAGCAGGCATGGAGGCATGCACGGCTCGGCCTATGCCAGCAGCGATAATGACTCGGAGATGGAGGACTCAGACATGAAGAGGGAACTACAGAGACTCAGGGAGAAGTGAGTATAGCCATAGTTGCTTTTGGCCTTATTAAGTGTCTTTTCATGAAAATATGTAGTTATTTATCTTCAAGTGACCACTATGCTGCCGCTTCCATCCCCTCAGACATCTGAGGGAGATCTCTGAGCTGCAGGCCAATCAGCGGGGGGAAGTGGAATTGCTGTATTGCCGGCTTGGCAAAGCTCCTCCTCCTGGCCTGGGTCTTTCTCATGATGCACCACCTGCGGGGCGTAGGAAGAAGTCCAACAAGCACAGATTGAAGCCTGGCAAACTTCTCAGCCCTCTGGTCCAACAATTTAGAAATGTCACAACCAAAAGTAGTGACTCAAGCAGAACAGGTGAGTCACTTTTCAGAATCTCAAAGATTGAAGATTTACAGCACTGGCACAATGAGTATGCCATTCTGATGCCTGTGTGTGTGTGTTCAGTTGTTGCTACAGGTACAAGTGAACCCACAGTGAGCCAAAATGGCTCTCCAGCCAAAGGGTCTTTCCCCACTCAAGGGAGGGCTCGGTCATGTACCAGTCACCTTCCCAGCTCAACGCCAGAGCCTGTGCAGACTCAGCAGCCCTGTTCCCTCAAGGGCTCTTTGTCTTCTGATAATATTTACGGTGGACTACAAGGAGACGGCACTGGCACACAAGCTCCACCGGGACAAGGTGAGCACACAACCAAACATCTTAGCCTGACTGTCTTTACACAAATACAAGACTGTAAACATGTATATTCAACAGAGAATTAGTAACAAATACATGACTGTGGATTTGTACAATAAGGTTGGGTATTTCAGTGTGTGCTCTTCTTACCCTGTTATCTTCTCCCCTCTTTGATTATACTCCTCTACAGGCTGGTCTAATAACCCCCAAACTTCAGAGAGAGTGACCTATAAATCGAGTAGCAAGCCACGAGCTAGATTTCTCAGTGGGCCTGTGTCTTTGTCTATCTGTTTGTACCTCTTCTCTTCCCGCATAGCTTCATTTTTCTGTTTATCATCATCATCCTTTATTTCTCTACTTTCAGCTTACTGATATCTTTTTCTCTGTCTTTGCCAAATATTATGCAACACTGCCAGGTTTTTAACGCTTTGCCTTATCCTTACCACTTTCTTTTATCTTTTATTTTTGATAGCGCAAAATATATGGCTTTTTCAAACCCATGAAAGTAAAAAAGTAGAGATTTTGATTGACTATAATATCTATATTATTATTATATATGTATTTATACTCACGGTTCCTGTTTAATGAACTATTACCCTTTTCAGAATGTTGAGGTTTGGAAAATCAAGTTTAATTTGAATAAATAATTGGCATTATTTCACATTTCAAGTGTCTCATACTGATGCTATTTGAACAATTCAACTTTACCACCATCCATTACTAAGCAATAGACTTCTGCATGCCCCCCAATCAGCCATAACATTTTTAATTTCTCATTGCTTCTTAACCTCTCCTTTTTATCTTTGTATCTCTCTAAAACTGATAATGCACATTGATATGGATAATTCACTTGCATGATTTTGCTTATAAATGGACTCACTTATTTTTAGGGGGCTGATTGCTTTGAATGTTACTTTGGTTTTACTTTGGTTCTTTGTTTTGTGGCAGTATTCAGCATCTTTGTTTTGCACGGCATCTTGTTATTTAACATTATTACCAGCTAATGGAAATGTACATTTGTATAAAGTATTTTTGTGTTACAGGGACAACACTGAAGCGTCTGTGTCTCGGCAAAGAGCGTGGCAGCAGTACGTAAAATGACTGTGTCTTGCTAAAATGAGTTCAAAGGCGGGTTGATTTCAATCGGTTAAATTAACTGAACAACATGATTTCATGGTATGGGTGTATTTGTGTCTCTTCAGGATCTGGAGCTGGGCCAGGGGCTTTCAATCCATCCCAGCAGCCGCCTGCCGGTGCCACGCCTCCTTCTCATCAGCCGGTTACAGGACTGGCCCAAGCTCAGGCAAATAACAGCAACAACAAGACGGCCACATACACTGGCTTATCCATGAGTGCCAATGAAAACAACCTGTCTGAAGACTTGCAGCGGCTGATGGAGGACTGGGCCCAGGAGGTGCTTATCGTCACCCACAGGCCTGGCACCAACTCTCTGAGCATCAGCGGGCAGCAGCTCTGGAATCAGGTTATGCACCGAACACATGGACAGCTGACAAGTGCTTCAGACGTGAGTCTCATGCTAGTTGTGCACCAGTTTGCTCTGCATTCATATAAAACAAAAATGATTAAAACATATTTTTAAAGTTAAGTTGATCATAGAGGTACAGTGGTAGTTGTGCATATACCCACAGTCTTTAGATAATGCAGCCTGAAGTGGAGAACAAAACGCATTGACTAGGCATTTTGATTAGTTTAGGATTATGGGAAATTACAATTATTTTAAACTACTGTATATGTTAAAGGTCCCCTATTATACTGTTTTTCATCAATATATTATAGGTCTCAGATATATACGAAACATGTCTCTGAAGTGTTTGGCTCCAAATACCAAACAGACCACCCATTGTAGCATCCCATAATCCCCTCTGTTTTAGCCCTGTTTAAAAAGTACTGATTCTCTGTCTGTTACTTTAGATGAAAATAAGGAGCCACTCCCCACGCCCCTCTGAGAGTTATTTGGTTAAAAAAAACACAATGGTGCTCTAGGAGGGGATTCAGGTGATAAGGTGGGGGGGGGGGGGGCTGGTGTGTTACCTTGGTTGGTAATTGGCTAATGGTTACACAAGCCAAAAAATCGTTATGACATCATAAAGTGGCCAAAATCTGATCAGCTCATTTTCAGACAGGTTTTTATATAAATGGATCAGGACAAAAAGAGAGGGAACCTTTTTTCCTGAAACTTTCAGAATCTCTTTACACAGAGGGGACACATGTTTATGTATAAAATACATTAAAAAGTGGATTTTGCATAATAGGTGACCTTTAAGACAACACACGATGTAGTACTAGTTTGATTATATTTAATTCATTACTCCCTGACACTGACAGTAATTACCCATTAGCTTTAGTAAATAGAAAAGTGTACAGTTTGGTCCTGGAAGTGTTACATGTAATGGGCAGCAATAACCCTTTCTAATTGATTGTATTTTATGACATGCAGTTAACCATTATTGTGAAATTCAATATCGGCCCATTATCTGACCCTGTTAGGTATCATGGACAGCCCCAGGTCCGGAGGTCTGCAGTGCTTCTCTGTCCTGGCCTGATAGCCCGGGGTCAACAATCATTAGCAGCCCCTCCACTGGGCCCCATGGCAGTTGTCAGCTTCGCTCTCCTGCTGCTTTCAGGGCCGTGTCCTCGCCTCTCTCTGTTAGCCAGTGGCCTGGGTTGCTCTTTCCTCTTCCTTCAGGAGCCTTTGCCTTTCCTGCTGTATGCTCATCCCAGGACGTCCCCAGCCCGACTTCAGCTCCATCATATCAGACGCCGGACCCCAAAGCCAGGACTCTGTAACCTAAGTAGCATTGTGTCTTCCAACTCCGTTACCAAAAAGAAATCTCACTATAGTTCTAGTCAATCTTATGTGCATATACTGTATATATATATATTTAACCAGCATGTATCTAATCATATGTACATACTCATATCCACTCTTGAGTTTAAAGTTATTTGGTTATTTCGCATCAACATACCTCATGTCCATATTGCAGTATATAATCCTTCAGTGCAGTGTAATGGCAGTAGTACAGGTAAAGAAGCCTAATAAACCCAATCAGGCTAAAAATAGTACATTTTTGTCATAGCTTATTAATGTACCTTACCACTCATTAAATGTATATAATGAACTGTTCATTAATAGTACGTTTATATAAATAGTTCATGTTTTTTTGCTCATATCACCTCTATGGTTGTGTGTATATATGAATCATTGTGAGTCTGTACATAGCCTCTGTGTTTGTACAGATAACATCAGATAATCCATTGCTCGGTGCTGCAGATATGTGTCTTAATGCAACACCATCATGCCGTCACTGTGAAGACTTGACATCCTGGTCACTAGGACCGGTTGCTTTACTCTGCTCTCAGTCCAAGGGTAGGTTTCATTCTTCATCGATGAAATGCTTCCAGCACAAGCGCTTGAAATATCTTTAAGAGATTTGAATGAACTTGAATTTTATCTTCAGGTGAAAAAACACCTGTGAGAGTGCCTTGAAATGAAGTTTCAGTTTTATGAAGAGAAGCATTTAGATTCAAAGCAGATACCAGACATTCTATATCATATATGCTTTAACCTCCAAAGGTAATTGATGTGATTTGAATAATACATGTGGAATTTCACATTTAATTTAGCAACACAACATAAAAAAATACTTTAATCTGGTCATGTTGAGACATAAAATATCACAGATTGTAAAACTAAACCTTGTTCACTGAAGTAATTATTTGTGGGATTTGCTCTACAACCTTCCACCTCCTGCATGAATACACTGATATTCTGAATGTGCACAGGTTGATGTGGTTTGCTTCAAGAGGATGTTATAAAGAGAAACTAGCATTGAAACAATACAACAAGGAGGGCTGAAGGACTCAACCTTGAGTCAAAGTCATTGTCATGCCATACCTCTAATGCCGTCTGTAGCTTTACATATGGTTGCCTTTGTGGTTTTACAGAGATTATTTTGTGATTGGTTGTTGTCTGATACATATTGATGATATGATGATGTGAGAGGCTCATGAAGAATATGAATAGATGAGAAGCCACAACTGTTTGACATTTTATTATGACAATGCATAGGTTTTCTAGATGATTATTATCCAACGCTAGCCTCACATGATCATCTTATAAAGCTAATTATGTATATGGCAGAATCAACTCAAAGATCTCCAACAAATATTCATGCTTTAAGTTATTTCAATAGTGCAGCCTCAATCATCACTTTCACTTCCAATACTTAAAGCTCTTGTAAAACTTTTATTAGGAAAGCTACTGCAGAAGAATACGTTTGCCTAATTCATTAATGTCTCGACGTGTTATGGCAATACAAAGCAGAGGCAAACATCTATATAGTCAAAAAGTAGGCATATTAATATTAGACAGAGTATGGGTCAAGCTTGAGAAATACTGAAAACTAAATTTCCCAGAATGCTGTTCAGTAGGACTTTTGACATGATAAGGGTTATTTTGTAATTTTTGGAAAGACCTTTCCAGAGCCACATAATACAAAAGTACAAGCAGTGCTCTTTAGGATGAATAAACTGCCCGACTGCAGTGCCGCTTTAAAAACCTTCCATGTTTGCACAGTGTGATGATATTTTGTTTGAAAATGAATACATTGTCTTAAAGGTAGAATTTCTTCCATGATGGTTTATGGATTATTATTATTTTCATGAAAACGTCTCCTATGCAGCTTTTTATTTGTGCTTTTCACAGTATCTCCTGTATTTGATCTCTTTAATGCTTTCAAAGCAAGCTAGGTGTATGGTTCCTTTCGCCCACTGTATCACCTGTTTTCCAAAATCGGTACTATTTCACAAAAGCTGTATATACTTATATAATAAATTAATATTTGCTTGACATCATACAATATTAGTCTTGTACTGGTTTTATTTTCAGTGCATTGTGAACATATGAACCTAAATTGTCTAATGTTGTCTGAGTTTGCATTGAAAGTTGTGGGCAGCAGTGAAGCTTATTTTTGTGTCCCATTCCTGGCAGTATGGGAATGGAATGTAGGAGGAAGTTTGTTTGTTTGTGTTTGTGTGTGTGTGTGTGTGTGTGTGTGTGTGTGTGGGGGGGGGGGGTTGTGTGTGGGAGATGTTGATACAAGAGAGAGAAAGCGGAGTTCGACCTTTTAAATAAATGTGTGTACACATCATGTTGTCCATGTCTATTTAAGTTCAGTTTAAAAGACAGTTTGATCTGTGAGCATTGCATTCTGGTGGGAGCCATCATGGAGAGAGCTGTGCTGCAAATCACCCTCTTCGGGCTGCTGCTGGCTTTGGCTGCGACACAACCGAACAAGGTGAGGACACAAAACATAATAGAACAGAGCCTGCCACTGCAATGAAACTTAATCTATTGAATACATTTATTAAGTAGGAACATCTAGGGATTTTTTGTAATTTAATTAATCAATGGCGGCAGTTTTTTTCTCCAGGGGGGGCTATTCCAAAATGTAAGCAAACGTTTACACAAAGTAAAAACATACTGTATGTCATATTACAACGCAGGGCCAGCTCAAAAGCACCACAGAACTTGATACAGTCTATTATTTGAGAAGGGAATAAGAACCTCCTTATTATGCTTACTCTTTTCCTGTAGCTTTCATTGAGTTGGACAGCTATGTTTAATTTCCCAAACATGGCAAGTCGCATAGCAATATCCATGTGGACTCTAGTTTGTTCATACTTTTTAGTTTTTTCTGATATGTGCTTAACCCTTGTGTTGTGTGTTGGTCTGCCGTGACCTGTTTCAAGCAACAATTGTATAATATCTACCCTCTAGTTTTTTTTATCGGAAAAGGCTTCCGATAAAAGACCTCCAGTTGTTGTGGAGATCATGAAGACCTAAAAAAGTATTTTTTAATGACAATCTAGAATGTGGGAAGAGTTGGGGCGGCGCCCCTAGCACCCCTATTGGCTGGTGTGAATGTGCAAGGCCGTCCCTGGCCAACATGAGGCCCCACGCAAAGTTATAAGATGAGGCCCTCTGTTTTTTTTCGGCTCCCTCCGCAAGATGAGGCCCTCTCCGCAAGGTGAGGCCCCACGCAGTCTGCGTGATCGGCCTGTAGAGAGGGACGGCCCTGTGAATGTGTATTACTCATACTGTTGGGCAGTAAATGTGAACACAGTCACGTTGGGGGTCACATTTTGAGCACAAAAGATGGACCCCTTGATGTTGTTCATGATTGTTGTGATGTGTAATCAAAAAAAAAAAAAAATAAGAACAAGAGCGGGGTGATTCTGCAGTTAGCCCTACAAGACTTTTATGATGCCATCCACTATTAGATGTTCACCATGACCTGATCTTTGGTCAGCTGGTCTTCAGCCAACGTGATTAAGCCATTTAATTTATTGTGAAATGTTCCTCCTGCTGTATTTGTTTAGGACGACTGGGACATCTACAGCTTTCACATCAACTCCACAGTGACCAGTCGTTATGCAACCACTGTCATCACGAGCCGCATGGCCAATCGTATGGACAAGTCGAAGGAGATAGAGTTCCACGTCCGGATTCCCAAGAACGCCTTCATCAGCAAATTCAGAATGTGTGTTAAGCAAACATATTTACAGGAATTTGCACAGAAATGATTTTACATCACAGAATAAAAAAAAAAAATCTCAGGCTACTAAAGAGTACGCATATAAACAACACATTTCCCTTGGTCTTCTTCAGGTTTATTGATGGCCAAGTGTACGATGGCATTGTGAAAGGTAAAGAGAAAGCCAGGCAGCAGTACACTGAGGCTGTGTCCCGCGGACAAAGTGCCGGACTTGTCAGGTACATTGGATACATTTTTTGACAGATATTTTAAATGATATGTGTGTGTCCTCCCGAGATCGAGGGAAAAAACATATTTTTGCATGACTTAAATGTTTGCATTTTTATGGAGAATTTGTTAAACATCTTTGCTGTAAAGTCTTTCAAATGTAACAATCTGAAAAGGAAATATTCACCTTTGGTTGATCTAATGTTAAACCCACAATAATGTCATAACCTGTGATTAGGGTTTATAAATATAGGTATTATTTGTGTTGAAATGGTCACAAGACTGAGGGGGAAACCACTGTTTTAATGCAAAGTTGATCATCTCATTGCAGTTCTGTAGGGAGGACCCTGGAGGAATTTAAGACCTCTGTGACTGTGGCTGCTCACAAAAAGGTCACCTTTGAACTCACATATGAGGAGCTGCTGAAACGCAGGCTTGGAAAGTACGAGCTGCAAATCCACGCTCGACCCATGCAGCCTGTGAAAAGCTTTAAAGTGAGTCTCCCTTGATCTATTCTTGAAAACAATAGTGCGGCAAAACATTTTGTATGTTCACTACTTCTAACTATTTTAATGTATGTAATTCTGTCAGGTTGATGTGCACATTCACGAGGAATCTGGCATCAATATCGTTGAGGTTAAAGGAGGACTTGCCCTGGCTGATGCCATCAACAAAACACATGCAGACAATGAGGTACATCATAAGATAAGATAAGATAGTACTTTATTGATCCCAATTTGGGAAATCTTTTAAATGTCCCAAATTGGGATTTAGCAGTGATTAGAACTTTTGTATTTAACTCAGATTTGACTTTATTATGATTTATATTTAACCATTTAGCTACATATATACAGTTATGGCAATGTACATTCTGTCATATGGCTCATACTTTTCTATTTTTATAGATCTACTGTTGCACTTTTTCAACAGTTTTCTCCAACCTGGTCTCACCAGAATGCGTGACTCCACCACGACTCCTTAACACCGCAGTGCGTGGTGGAGTCACGAACTTTGCTACATTTACGTGTCTGCACCAAAGTGCAGTGAATGAGGCTCCTTTGTCGTGGTGCACACACGCATTTCTACAACGTCCAACATTGAGCTTTTATTCTATAAAACGTTTTTAAAATCTACTTTATAGCTTGTAGTAACTCACGGGAGGCTTCTTTTATTTTATTTGTATTCATAATAATTTTTATTTTTCGTCAGAATGTATTATGGTGCATTATTCACCAATTTTTGTTCTCAAAAAACAGTGCATTGTGTGTAATACAACTGTGATTTTTATTAAATGAGTTAGTTTTTAAGGAAGGCCAGAGCTTCAGCTGTGTCAAATAGATTGTTCCCTTTCGTTAACGTTATTTAAAAGATAATTATATTCCTATTTGATCAAGTCCCCTTTATTGTATTACGGAGAGCAATGTGAGCGTCCATTCCCATTGGATAATGGAGGATTTTACACCCGGAAGTAAGTATTCTCCTTACTGTCGATTGATTTTATTTACAGTGATATCTGCACTACTCATCAACTCAAAAACACCAGATTATCCTTGTTAATTACACAACATTGATTGGTTTAAATTGTGTACAATGCTTTTGGATTTTCCCCTTTCGATTCGGAGAAACAAATATTTGTTCGTAGTGTGTGGATGGCAGAAGACACTACACTACCCAGAATCCTCAGCTATGGGACTACACCATGTGCTTAGAACGTGTCCTACCCATAGACTGTATATATAGGTCCTACCCCCCCCCCCCCCCCCCCCCCCCCTTAGGTCACAGGCTCCTCCATCAGTGCAACACAATGAAACAGATGCACAGACAAAATAGTGCAAGTAAATACAAAAAGAAAAATAGTAAAATAGTAAAAAGTGAAATAGTGCAATAAGAGTCTATATACAAGTGATTGGAATATGATATATTAGATAAATAATTTCTAAGTAGCAGCCAGATGAATGTTATGGATGTTGTTTCAAAGTTCAGGTGTTTAATAGTCTTATGGCCTGTGGGATGAAGCTGTCCCTGAGTCTGGTGGTTTTAGTCCGGATGCTGCAGTACCGCCTGCCAGACGGCAGCAGACAGAACAGTTTGTGGCTGGGGTGATGGGGATCTTTTATAATCCTGAGGGCTTTCTTTAAGGTTAACCTGGTATTTTTACTCCACTACATTTATTTTAGTTACTTTACAGATTTGGATTAATGATGTGAAATATAAACAACCCTTAAATCAGACTTTAGTTACACCTGAGTAAAATTCAGTGAATTCAGCCAACAATCAGGCGAGATATTTGGTAGTGGGTGCTTGAGAAGACTAAATATTTATCTGCAGATCCCTATAAACCATATTCATTACTCGTTATTCTCTACTAATAGTTAATTAAAAACTGTATATAATGGCTATTTTGCACATCCCTTTCAAGATTTCAAGATTTTCTAAGGTTTATTGACATATCATATACACAACTACGGTGTAGTTATGCAATGAATGAAAAACTTGGGTCACAGGTTCCTCAACAGTGCATTACAAGACATCTATCGATATCTGTGTACCTCCACCATTAAACATATTCTGCACCTTTCTTATACTATCTACATACATCTTATAAGAGTATAATTAATATGTATAATATCAGTTAAAATAAGTGCTTCAACATAGTTAACATTGCAGGAAAGTTGATTGTCAAGTTCCAAAACAAACCATGCAATATATTAGACGTTAAGTACTTTGTCAGGCTTAATATCTGTAGATACCCCCAAAGCTTTTTTCTTATTTAAAAGAAGACCTTAACCTAAAGTATTCTTTAATGTTTAAATAAAGCCTTATTAGTTTGTCTGTTTTGCACATCCTCCTATCAGGCACTAAACTGTTTTATTGTAGAGATCACTAAGTACACTAGGCACAGGACAGCAGCTAAACCCCAGCAGGTGGTACTTAAAAGACATCAAACATAGCCCTTAAATGTCCTCTCTTACCTCCCACACATAGCAGGCACATCTCTGATATCGGCGGGAGCGTCCCCGGCTGTCCTCTGCTGAGAGCTCCGTGATTTGTTTGGTCAAGTCCGGTTTTTCATCTCATCGGTTTATTTGTCAGTATAAAGTTGCAGGATTAGTCTCAAGTACCTCAACATTGTCCTTAAGTACAGTGTCTAAATAATAAAGTAAATGAGATACTGTCTACTGCTGTTCATTTACCTATTGTGAGTCGCCTCGGATAAAAGCATCACATGGAAATGTAAATTTAGCAAGAAGTGGCCATTATTACATTACTACATTGCTGACTCAATAAACTACACACCCGCCAGAACACTGCGATCATCAGATGCAGGTCTATTAACTGTGATTTTATAGTGTCTGCACTTTATGTGCTCATTTCATCATTCATGTATTTTTATATTCTAAAACATGTTTTCGATGGACGAGAGTGAAAATGGAACGCACACGCTATTTGTTTGTTTATATCAGTCTGTTCTTCTTCTCTGTCTTCCGGTTGTTGCCTATTTTGAATGACGAATACACACTACCGCCGCCTGCTGGTAAGGAGAGTTATTGCCACTCACGCATGCGCAGTTCGTACGTGCTCGGCTGAAGTCTTTGCGGTGTGTTCCAGTGCGACACATGGCCAAGACGCAGGAGAACTCATCGATGGAACTGTCGGTGTCGGTGTCGGCGAGTTCTCTGGTGACTGCCTGGTGTGTCAGGGCCTTAATACAATAAAGGGGACTTGATCAAATAGGAATATAATTATCTTTTAAATAACGTTAACTAAAGGGAACAATCTATTTGACACAGCTGAAGCTCTGGCCTTCCTTAAAAACTAACTCATTTAATAAAAATCACAGTTGTATTACACACAATGCACTGTTTTTTGAGAACAAAAATTGGTGAATAATGCACCATAATACATTCTGACGAAAAATAAAAATGATTATGAATACAAATAAAATAAAAGAAGCCTCCCGTGAGTTACTACAAGCTATAAAGTAGATTTTTAAAACGTTTTATAGAATAAAAGCTCAATGTTGGACGTTGTAGAAATGCGTGTGTGCACCACGACAAAGGAGCCTCATTCACTTTACATTGGGGTTGTTTGCGTGGTGCAGACACGTAAATGTAGCAAAGTTCGTGACTCCACCACGCACTGGTGTTAAGGAGTCGTGGTGGAGTCACGCATTCTGGTGAGACTAGGTTGGTTTGATCTTAAACTGCATATTGTTGTTCCAGTAGTGTGATGCAGTGATTAGATTTCAGTCTTATCACATTTAACAAGAGGCAGAGGATTCTTTGAAGAATAAAACCTGCTCATCAACTTCTGTGTCAATAAAAGGTCTGTAAAAACCTTCTCCTTCCTGTTTCCAGGTGTGGGTGAACTTCTACCCAACAGAAGACCAACAGAAAACGTGTACCAGCTGTGGAGAGCAGGGACTGAATGGAGATCTGGTTATTGTTTACGATGTCAATAGGGACAGTGGACTGGGAGACATTAAGGTAAAGCAATAGTTCATTTTCTGGAAAACTTTAAATGGTCTATTATTTATTTAAAAAAACCACTATACATACTGAAATAAAAATATATTTTACCATCCCCTGTTGGTTCAACAATATTTTGTCACAATCAAACTTTCTTCTTTCTTCCTGAAAGACTTCAGCCGGGTACTTTGTTCATCACTTTGCCCCATCTAGTCTTACCCGCATATCAAAAAATGTTGTCTTCTTGATCGATCGAAGTGGCTCAATGCACGGCAAAAAAATGCAACAGGTAAAGTAATTGAAGAGTGTGAGTTTGTGACATATTGCTCATTTCAGTAAGACAGAACTCTTTATTATATACATAGGCACAAATGAAACACAACATCGTTTTATACTTGAATCAAAGTTTTGATCTGTCAATTATGTTTTTTGCACAGACCCGGTTAGCCTTAATCCACATCTTGAACGACCTGTCAGAGGATGACCACTTTGGTCTTATCACTTTTGATGGCAGCATTTCTTACTGGAAACGAGAACTTGTTCAAGCCAACCAGCGAAACCTGGAGAGTGCCAAGATATTTTCAAGGAATATTAGAGAAAGTGGAGGTAAGGTTTTTAGTTAAAATGTTATGAAGGGATGAAAACATATCCCAGCAGAACGGTTGTGATACGATAGTTTGTTTTTTTAGCCACAAACATCAACAGTGCAGTGTTGGAAGGAGCCAGTTTGCTCAACGCACATCCGAGAGAAGATTCAGCATCCATCCTCATTCTTCTCACTGATGGAGACCCAACATCAGGTAACAATTAAACACTCTTGCACATAAACACGAGCAAATACTTCAAACATGTTTTATAAGGACCCATGTGACACAGTCCATCATTTTAAAATGATTCCCCTGCAGTCATTTTCTCCATATCCTCTCCTGTCACCAAGCTATAACCTACTCTTGTGGGATATTGAACATCATGGAAATTAAAACACAAATAACGTCAAGTTTATTTTCAATTAACTTTAAGAAATGTGCACCCTCACCATCGATAACTGATAGTTGTTGGATTGGAAAGTCTGAGTGGATTGGTCTTATTTAGCCGAATGTCCTTTCTCTTTGCAGGGGTGACAAATCTTGAACAAATCCAGTCAAATGTCAGGGTGGCTATTGCGGATAAATTCCCACTCTACTGTCTCGGTTTTGGTTTTGATGTCAATTTTGAGTTCCTTGAGAAGATGTCGCTGCAGAACAATGGTGTGGCACGACGGATTTATGAAGACTCTGATGCTGATTTACAGCTGAAGGTATTTGCGATCAGTTGCTCTTATTGTAAATGTGACAATGTTATTTGATGCATTTCCATAGAGAAAATGATAACGGTTGGATGTTTAGAAGTAAACATTTATACATTGTCCATACTGCATGTCAACAGGGTTTCTATGAAGAGGTGGCCACTCCTCTTTTGATCGATGTGACTATGAGCTATAATGGTGGCACCAATCTGACGCAGACTGAATTCAGCCAGTATTATAACGGATCAGAGATTGTGGTGGCCGGTAAGATCACTGACAACGACATTGGAACCTTCACTCCACAAGTCGTGGCAATTTCGGTAAGAATTGCTTCACACTGCACACCATCTATAATCTTCTGAAAGGTTGTTGAAATGTTCCTGTGTATAATAATAATAGCTTGCATTTATATAGCGCCTTTCAAGGGACCCAAGGTCGCTGTACAGTAAGTATGCTGACATAATACTTCATTTGGACTATGACAGAGCAGTAAAAAGATGACGTTTTCTAACCCCAACGGCACCGTGGAGTCCACTGGAACAGAGTCTGCCGACCAAATCCAGAGGGTTTGGGCCTATCTCACGGTCAAACAGCTTCTGGAGAAAGAGTGAGTGTCATGTCGAACATCATTTTTTCTTGCTGCTTCCTCCTTAGATTCAGAGACATCAATTGATCTACTTGCAATTCATTTGCAGCTTTACCCATTCCATACATAAAACTTAAAAACGTACATGCAAGGTATATATCAGAGTAAACTAAAATGAATGTATCAATACAATGGAAAACGAGCAGCCGTAAATCAAATAAGATATTTTGCTTTAGTTCATATCCAAATTGAAAACCAGGGCCGCCCCTCCCTACACGCAGATCACGCAGACGGCGTGGGGCCTCATCTTGCGGAGGGGACCTCATCTTATGCGCAAATGCGGCGCAATTATGCGCTCCGCAGTTACCCCGCTGCGGGGCTACGGCGAACTGACAGTTCACACGCGTGCTCCACTAGTCTTATTATAGACACATGTATTTACAAACATTTGGTCTACCTACGCTGTAAAATGTATTATCTCTTCGATTTACACACGGCATCTATTGCACGTCTGTCCGTCCTGGGAGAGGGATCCCTCCTCTGTTTCTCTCCCTGAGGTTTCTCCCATTTTTCCCTTTAAACTGTGGGGTTTTTCATTTTTTGGAAGTTTTTCCTTGTACGATGTGAGGGTCTAAGGACAGAGGGTGTCGTATTGTCATACTGATATTCTGTACAAACTGTGAAGTCCACTGAGACAAATGTAACATTTGTGATATTGGGCTATATAAATAAACATTGATTGATTGATTGTACCCCCCCGTCAACGCTCGCGACACATGTGTGACGACTCGTAGGGGCCTCATGAAACACTTTTGCGTGGGGCCACAAGGGCTAGGGGCAGCCCTGTTGAAAACCATAATGTAACAGTCAGTGTTTATATATATATACTTACAGTACACAAGTGGGCCACAAAGACAAGGCAAACGTGCAACTTGTAATGGTGTAAAATACACAGTATATTAATGATTGATACCACAGGTAAAGTAAACAAAAAAGACTTCTAATTTATAGTCGATTGCAGTGGAAAGAAATTACGATGATTTTATCAAACATTGTGGTATACTTTACTTTAATGCTAACACTGACACTGTGCTGTCTAATGGCGCATTTCCACTACAGCGCGGAGCGCGGTTTAAGCGGCCCGGTTTTGGTTGCGTTTCCACTAGGCGTAGTTCCGGCTAGCAGATACTTTTTCACAGTTTTCTGGCTCTCCAGAATCGAGGTTCTTTCCGGGCCAACAACCGGGCTGAGTATGCTAAACTAGTGAGAGAATCACTGGCAACTACAACAAAATGAATATATTTTACCGTGATTTAATTGTAATACACGTTTCAAAATGATGCCGAAGTAACAACATACTGATACCGGTTAGTAAAAACCATGAATTAATGCCTTGACAAGTCTGCAGACAAGACGGCAGGCGAAAAACCTTTTAGAATGCGTGTTTTCTGAATGGAGATCGGCTAAGCTAACGTTGTATATGCTCCGACCGTCCACACTCACAACGGCCTATACAGACATAAATAAACCAGCGACTGTATTCGCCATGACACAGACAGTCTGTGGTTTGTATTTGTTTAACTTTTGTCAAGATTCTGAACAGATATGAGGAGCTGTGAGCTCTGAGGGCTAACAGCTAACGGCTAATGTTGGTTTTGTGTTTCGCATTGAAGATGACGTCACGGCTCCGCCTACACTGCATTACTATAGATACTACCCCAGTTCCTAAACTGTAATGGAAACGCAGCATAAAGTGAGCCTGGCCTAACAAGGCCTAACGAGGCCTAGCCATACCGTAGTAACGCGAGCGAGGCCCTGCAGTGGAAAAGCGCCATAAGACTCTGTCTTACTCCAGCCAGCAGGTGGTGCTGTTGCTTTTTGTTTCTTCTTCTTTTGTTAGTAGCAGCCAATTGGAAAGACTTACATTTAAAAACATAGGAAGTAATACCCACACGTGAGTCGTGGTTGAAAGGGACAGAGAGGAGAATATCATTGTTTGAATCTGCATCCATCCTTCTTTGCTATGTTGTGGAAAGCATTGCCTGTAAGCATGTTTGGCTTTTGTACATATTCTTAAGAGGATATCAACGATTATTTTGACGTTTCAATGTTTAAGTAGATTGCTATTCATTGATGTTTGATGTATGGTCAGCAAATGTTTTTTAGTGTGTATTACACAGCACTTTTGCATGTAAACATTTTCATATGCATATTTTGTGAAGTTTTTGACGTAATTAATCGTTGTATATATATTTCTGCATCACAGCTAAGTGCCTAATTTCAATATATTGTGTTTCTTTCAGTTTTACTCTGTTGACTTGTGGATGTAAACATCTTATTAAAGAAGATTAACGCTTGCCACTTGTCGAGGAGTTATCTGTCTGAATAACTGTACTCATAACAACAGTGAGGGCAGAACAGACACGATTGATCAACTACTGTATCATCAAAAATCTTTCCAGCACTTGTTGCCCGAAAGAAAAAAGTTAAAGGTCCCATGTCATGGCCATTTCTACTGATCATAATTCCATTGTTGAGGTTTCTCATACAGCATCTCTGTATAGTGTGTATTCACTCTCTGTCCTAAACGACTTGTTGGAGCTCCTGCCCCCCTCCCCCTCCCTGTGAGCCCAGTGTGCTCCGATTGGTCAGCTCGGCCACTTTGTTCTGATTAGTCAACCACCAGAGAGGCTCCGCCCATGTCTAACACAGTGCTTTTTTCAGCTCTGAGCGGAACATCAGTTTTACAATGGCGTCGGTACAGCCGTATATGTTATACGCTAACTAACCGAACTGTACCTACTACTGTTGTTATTTAGGTGCACTTGTGGAAACTGCGCCATGATGCCTACCGAAGTGGAAAACTTCTGTTGCAAAGAAATTAGAAAGGTAGCCTAGCTGACAGTTACAACATTATGTAGCCAGCTAGCTGAAAACACCAACAGTAGCACACAACATTATATGCCAAGATATACACCATACATACCCCACACCCTGCCTGCAGAACCTCCATAATATGTACAGATTTGATTATAGACCTTTGAGGCGTAGAACGGAAGAAGAGTAAGTTATATTTACCTGTAATAAACTACTACTGTGTTTGATGAAAAATCAAATCATGGTTTGTTATATATGAATGATATGTTATAGGAGCAAATCATTTAGGGAAGAAAGGCTACTAAGTATTTCCATCAAACTTTATTTTTAGAAATGTACAAAATGAACATGTGTAAATATACATATATACACTGTATATCATCCATTCCTCCCCTTATAGGCGTTTTTGGCATCTTGCCTATCGCAGCTTTGTAAGCTGGTGCTGGGGCTTTTTAAGACGAGGCATCAGAGTGGTCATCCCGTCATGTGTTGTCCACCGGATACGCCAGGAGTTTCCTGATCTGGCTGGACGAAATCAAATGCAAATCACAAAATATTAGAGAAACTTAGTTTTAGGTTCGTTAGCTTGCCAGCTAGATTAATATGCTAACCTACGTTTGCTAGTTGTTCAGTGTAATATGCCAACCTACTATGAACAACAGCTAGTGGTTCATATTAGGCTAGCAAGAACATGTTTACAATTGCAATCTTATACGGGTAGTCTGCTACGTTCGGTCATTCATTGTAGCTGGCATAAAAACAATGTTTTTCCTAGCATGTCTAGCTCTTGGTAGCCTTCTTTTTTAGCTCGGTAGCATACACGCTAGGAACGTGTTGATAATTTGTGATCTTCTCGCTCCCAGGAAAGAAACTTAAAATAACGAGACTAATGGAGTCTCTGAAAAGGTTCAAATGGGTAGTTTAATTAAGTAACGTGGTTAAAGAACAAGCATGGTGAATGGAGAGACAAAGCCGGTGTTGTCTTGAGGGAGGCTGCAGCGAAGGGAAGAGAGTGAGTTATCTTTCGTCCTGCCTTTTTATCCACGTCTCGTTGTCCCCCGCTGTGCAAATAGTGGGTGGCCCCCTACTCATTTGCCGGTTCGATATCGCGAGAGCACAGATGATTTCGACATTGATATTCTCTGCCTACTTCCTTAAGCATTTTCTCCTCATTATCTCTGTCATGACTTTCTATTTAATACCTTATAAACAGCTGTAATACTTAGTTTAGAAGTCCTAGTGGTTCCGCTCCGGCACAGTTCTTATTTTACGGAAATTCCCTCTGACGTCATAGCTTCTCACGTATCTGTAAACACTACGATCAACTAGACCTTCATTTAATATTCAGCAGTAATAATATCTTAACGTCTATCGATGTAGTGTTAAAGTCCGTACGTTTGTGTGTAACACTCCAAGTCATTTTCACTTTACATTCAGAAAACGCAACATTAGTCACAAGCTAACCGGATAAAGGATTTTTCAGAATAAAAGCTTGGCATTGATTTCCTGAGAACTTCCGGGCTTTTCCACAATAAAACAGCTTTAAACTGACGATATGTTTTAGACTGAATTATGCTGTTTAACATTGATTTTAATTTCTAACAATCCCTCCTTTCACACCATTTAAGGTGTGAACACAATACTAAAAGTAATAAGTTCTTCATCTGACTGCTTTTAAACTGACGGTATGTTTTAGACTAAATCATGCCATAAAACATTGAATTTTAATTTCTAACAATCCCTCCTTTCACACCTTTTAAGGTGTGAACACAATACTGAAATCAATGAGTTCTTCATCTGAACTTTGCATAGTACATAACTCATATCAAAAACATACTATCAAAATGGAATGGTTCAAATAACCGTCATCAAAAATACAAACAATACATTGGTTGGTCTTCTGGTGTAAAAGTTTTCCCTTGTGCATAACTTTTAGTTTTAACATTCAATATCACTTTTTTAAAATAGCAGCAACTTGTGGTATTAGAACATTTCTTACTCCCTCCTTTCACAGAAACCGTTCCCATACCACATTCAGTGTTAAGGCACTTGTTTTACAAAGTATAAAAACATACTATTTAAAAATCGCATCACTAATAACAGTATAAAACATAAAAGTTAGAAACCTTTTTTGAATAGTGCAA